CCCGACCACCCAACCCAACCCAACCCCAACCGAGCTCACGTTGGAGGTGATCACTTGCCGAGCTCAGACCTTCGTGGCTGACGCGCTTTGTTTCTTCTTCTTCTTCCCCCCCCCTCTCAGGCACATTCCCGGGTGGATCAACCGGGCAGCGACCCTGGCCGGTCCATTGGTGGGCGGCTGGCTCGGACCCACGACCCCCGCAGCTCCAGTCCCGCCCGCCGTACCGCACCCCCTTATTTTGTTGGATTTATCTATTTATATTTTTTAAATCCACATTTTAGTTAATTGATAAAAATTCATTTTTAATTTACTTATTTAACGGTTGTTTTCTGCGTTATGTTGTGGTCCTACAGCCCAAGGCGTTCGACGGACAGGGCTACACGCTCTCGGGCTCGTCGACCACCGCGACCACGCCCGCACCGCCCCCGAAGGAGGCCTCGGCCATCACCTACACCATCAAGGTGCGCACCTAATGTGCCGTGTGCCGTGTGCGGTGGCGTGTGCGTGTGCGTGTGCGCGTGTGTGTGCGTGTGCGTGTGCGTGTGCGCTTGTCTAACAACAACTGGGCGATGATCAGTTGGATGACGAACAGCCGGTGACGGCCCTGCAGTTCCGTCTGCACGACGGCAGCCGAGCCCAGGCCAGCTTCAACCACTCGCACACGGTCGGCGACGTCAGACAGTACATCGACAACATCACAAGGTAGTGTATGGCATGTCGAGTGTATGGAATGCGAGTAATGTAAGTAACGGGGGCCTCGTATGTGTGTGTGTACAGTGTGCGAGCCTACGATCTGTGCACCTCCTTCCCCAAGACCGTGCTGGCCGACCCAGGGCAAACCCTCGCCGAGGTACCAAAGTGCACTTCTCTTCGATCGAACCCGCCATAGTTGACATTTCTGCCTATTTTCTACCAGGCGGGCCTGCTCAACGCGGTCATCATCCAGCAGCTCAAGTGAAGCTCACACCAAACTCCAAAGGGCTCTTCTCCTCATTGCACACATGATCGTATATACATAGTTTTTTTTTTCTTCACCGCGATTCACGGGGCAAGACAAGACGGTTAGCCAGATGATGATGATGATGCGCCGCCGTTGGCTTCATCGTCGCCCGGGCGCGGCTCAGGGTGGTAGGCCAGCTGACGCAGTGGAAGCCACTTGTTGAAGCGCTCGCTCTCCTTCATGGTGTCCTCATGCCAGCTCGTCGCGCACAAAATAGCGCAGTGTGCCTATTGACGTGTGTGCGTGTGTGTGTGTGTCGTGAGTGTCGTGCGGTAGTCACAACATGTGCGGTGCTGGGAGAGAAGGAGATGCGCCGGCTTCATACGTTGCCGTCGTGGTCGTAAAAGAACTGGCTCCGGTCGGCCAACCGCAGCAATCGACCGTCTTTGCACCGCACGAGCGGAGAGAAGCTGAACACGTCCCCAGACGTCATCGGTGGCCTGGCGGCACGCACACGAATGTAAGAATGCAAAGAATCGCACGCCAGAGCCATCAGCGTAGTAGGGGAGGCCTCAAAAAAGAGCGTACTTGCGAATGATCTCGGGCACCTGTGGCCGGTGATTGGTGTTGTACGAACCGATGTTGGTGTAGGGCAACCCGATGAGCTCCTCCTGTATTGAGTGCCGAAAACATTCAATTTGCTGTGTGCGCGTGCGTGCGTGTGCGCGTGCGCGTGCGTGCGTGTGCGTGTGCGTGTGCGTGCGTGTGCGTGTGCGTGTGCGGTGTGCGGTGTGCATACGGTACCCGAGCGTAGCCGACGAGACTGGTAAAGGCGTCGTTGACGTAGACCATGATTGGTGGGGTGTCCGAAAGTGGATTGATCGACACGCAAATCGGGTACCTATCGAACCCAGCGGGTGAGCACAAAAAGAACGAAAAAAAGAACGAAGCGAGATCGAAGTGACGATCGTGTGGGTGGGTACCGCAGGTCCAGAATCGCGAAGCGACTGGGCGAGATGTCGTAGTCGCACAGGAACGGCAGAGCTTCGCGCGCTTCGAGCAGCAGCGCCGGCGAGACGCCCGCGTGGAGGACCGACAGCTCGAACGAGAAGGAGGACCGCAGCGACCGGTGCGAGCCGGGCGGCGACGCCGGCGACGACGATGACGACGATGGCGAAGACGACGACGATGACGAAGCCGACGGAAAGAGCGAAGACGACGACGACGACAACGACGAGGCCCAGCCGTGCGTCGGCGAGAAGGGCGCCAGCAGGAGCGAGCCTCGGTCTCCGAAGCCCTCCTGGACGGCGCGCTGATGCACGCCCGGCGGGTCCACAATCCACGGCGACTGATGTAGATGGTTGAGCCATTGCTGGTTGCTGTACTGTTGATGATCGGTAAGATGTTGATGGTGTTGGTGGTGTTGATGATGGTGTTGTTGGTGTTGCTGATGATGATGTTGCTGTTGTTTCTGGGCCACGCTGAGCTGGGCGAGCAGCTGATCGCTCTGCTTGCGGTGGTCCTTCATTTTCTTGACGGTGCCGCGCAGGCGGTGGTTCTCCGAGCGCAGGCTCCGGATTTCGCCGGACATCATCTCCACAAGCTGCGCCAGGAGGCTCAGTTTCTTCTCCATCTCCCGCATCATCCGCCTCGTCACCGGCGCGTCGCCGTCTTCGTTTTCATTCCCTCCCCCCTCGCCTTCGCTTTCGTTCTTTTCGTCTTCGTTCTTTACACCTTCGTCCGCCCCGTCGTAGTCTTCGCTTTCGCTTTCGCCTTTGCCCTTTCCCTCATGGTCGCCCGTCGTTTTCATTCTTTTGCGTTGCAGTCGCTCCGCGCCGTCGTCGTCGTCGCCCTCATCGTCGTCGCCGAACGGCAGGTTGAGGTGGTGAGCACCGCGGTGGTGGTCGTCCCCGCGTGCCACGTCAGCATTGGCCACAGCGCGCAATGGTGATACGTTGGCGGCAGCCGCAGCCGCAGCAGAAGCGGTGGTTGTGTGCGGTAGCGTGGCGTCAACAGCGCTGCGCGATGGCGGTGGCTGTGTCGCCACCGATGACGGCAGCGGCGGCTGGTGGTAGTTGTGGTGCCGCAACGGCGGCATGGCCTGGTGAGGCGGTGGCGCCACGCCCAGCGGCATGGTTGGTTGCATCGCCTGGAGCTGCGGCTGGGGTGGTGGTCGGTGATGCGACGGCGCCGAGCCACCCGCCGGCTGGGGCAGTGGCTGCAGTGGCTGCAGCAGGTGCGGCGGGAGTGCGGTGGGCAGGTGGTGCAGGAGCGGCAGCGGCTTCGCACCAGCAACAGCACAATGGCCGCCGGGCGGTTGCGGCAAGAGAACGGGCAGGTCGGTCACCAGTGGCGGCTGCGGGCGTCGGCCGCGCTTGCGCGCCGGTGCGTCGCGGCATTGCAGCTCTTTCCCGAGCCGCACGCACCTCCGGCACGGCCTCTGGCTGCAATGCAAAGAAACAAAACAAAAAAAGAGATGGTCACGAAAGCGAAGGTATGAAGTTCGAGAGAGAAAAAAACGAAAGCGAAAAACGAAAGGGGGGAGGGGGAGGGGAGGACGAACCCATCGCAGGCGGTGTGTGCGTCGCGACACAGGAGGCATGCCCTGAAAGGCGGCTCGCCCTTTTTGGCGGATCCATCTCCGGACGTCGCTTCGTGTGCGTTTTCGGGGGGAGTTACTGGTGGCGCTGATCCCGCGGGAGCGCCTGACTGAGGCGGGGGGTGGAGGCCTTGCCCACCTAATCCTTGCATCGATCGTTGGCCCTCGACCTCCCAACTATTTACTCCTTGGCTTCTTTTGGAGTTTGTCGGTTCCCTTGGCAGCAACCGGAGGTCCTTTGTGTCGCTATTCGTCGGGGAGACATCCATGACCTCGCCACCCGATTGGATGGCAGTTTCAGTGCGCTTTTTGAAACGTTTCGTAAATAATTAGTTTTTTGTCTAAACAAAACAAAAAATAAAAATGAAATGCAAACCAACTTTGATAAAAAACGAAGATGATGGAGGTGCCGTTCGTCAAGATGCACGGGCTTGGCAACGACTTCATTTTCATCGCCCACCCACACCACCTGCGCATCCTCAGCGCATCCTCGCCCACCCCGGAGGACCACTCCACTCGGTTCGGGCAGGTGGCTCGCGTGCTCTGCCGGCGACGCTTCGGGGTGGGTGCCGACGGGCTCGCCCTCCTCCTGCCCGCCTCGCTCCCTCGCCACCACTTCAGGTGCGACCACTCCCCCAAAATTGCATTAAGTGTTGTTCTTGAGTATTAATGCACCAATTGCGGATTGGTGGCGTACAACAACCACAACCACAACAGGTTCGAGTTGTACAACGCCGATGGTTCAGCGGCGGCGATGTGCGGGAACGCGCTACGGTGTGCGGCCAAGCTCGCCTGGGAGCGGCGCAGACAGCTTCTGTCGGCGAGTGTCGATGAGCCCGTGCTGGTCGTCGACACGCCCGCAGGTACTCGCTTGCACTGCAGTCGCTCTTCCCTGGCCCTGATGAGTGTCTGACCGCACACGCACACGCACACGCACCACCACACACGCACACACCACCGCACACGCACGCAAACGCAGGGGAGATGGTGGCCCATCTGACGCTCAGCGAGTGCGGCGAGCGTGTGGCGGCGGTTCGTGTGAATATGGGGCGGCCGCTCTTCGCCCGCGGCCTGGTCCCGTGCCTCCTGCGCGCCGACGGCGGCTCGGAGGACGCGCCGGTCCTGATGGCCGAGTACGCGCTCGCCGGCCGCGCGTTCCGCTACTCGTCGGTCCTGGTCGGCGTGCCGCACACAATCATCTTCGTCGAGCGGGCCGACGACGAGGAGCTGATCGGTTCGCTGGGGCCGGCCATGGAGAAGGACCACACGCTCTTTCCGCAGGGGACCAACGTCGGCTTCGTGCAAGTCCTGCCCGACAACCACATCAACTACAGGTACCGCCTCCAGACCGCACACGCACCACCGCACACTCTCACTGACGCACGCACCACCGGACGCACCACCACACACGCACACGCACGACACATGAGCGCAGAGTGTGGGAGCGCGGTGTGGGGCCGACGCTGGCGTGTGGCACGGGCGCATCGGCGGCGGCGGTCGTGGCGGCGGTGCTGGGCCACGTCGACGGCGAGCGACCGGTGCGAGCCCACCTGGCCGGCGGCGATCTCACGCTTCGCGTCGACATGTCGCCTCCGCTCGGCGGCGTCCAGGCCGACTCGCCCACGGGCCGCGCAGCGCGGGTGGAGCGGGTGTGGATGGAGGGTCCTGCCGAGATTGTCTGCGAGGGCGTCGCCAACATCACGCTGTGACCGCACTCACGCACTACCGCCGCACGCACTCGACCGCACACGCACACTCGCATGATCGGGGATTTGTTTACGTTGTTTTAGTGGCCGACTCGCTGGACGCGGCTGCGGTCGTGGTGGAGTTGTAGTGGGCGACGGAGCGGCACATGAGCACGATGAGCGGTACGCAGAGGACCAGCACGCTGAGGGCCAGCCCGAAGAAGACTCGCTCGACCGAGAAGCGCTCGATGAAGACAGGACCGAAGTTGAGCACGATGAACGAGTACTGCCACTGGAACGAATACATGCATGCCTGCACACTCGACGCGCTCTGTGGTCTGTGCGTGTGCGCGTGCGGTGTGTGTCGTGTGTGTGTGTTTGTGTGTGTGTGTGTGTGTGTGTGTGGTTATGAGTGTGGTGCGTAAGTCAATGCACACAGTGCGAGATTCGAGAAGCGCGTACCGCTGCTCGATGCCGTAGGTGGTCATGCCTGGTCGCGAGAAGGTCAGCAGGAAGCCGAACGCAAAACTGGCCGCGAGCGTGATCCAGAGATTGCGATTCACTGTACAGTCGACACATTGTTGGGTGGGTGTACGTCAGAGAACGTAAACGTGAGATGCGCTGGCGTGCGTGACAAGGGGGAGTGGGCGCCCGTACAGAACCAACCGATGGCGACGGTGAAGATGGTGGTCAGCAGAGAGGCCACCACCACCGGAATCAGCCGTCCTGCGGTTCCCTGATCCACAACAACACAAGCATATAAGATGAGATATTCCCAATTAGATAGAAATAGTATATTTTGGAAGAAAGGACAAAGGTGCGGACCTTCTTCGCGAAGCCGTGGTCGGCAGCCCTGCCTCCGGCCACGGTGCCGAGGCAGTTGCCGATGCCCATCGGCAGGTAGGAGAGCCCGATCCCGATCTCACTCAGGCCATAGATCTTTTCCAGTTGAATCTGTGCCCACACATTGTGTGGATGGACGTAAGCCAAAAGCACACAGCACAGCACGCGCACGCGCAGGCACAGCACACGTGTAGAAGTAGGGCATACCGGAAAGATGAACATGATGAGGAACATGATGCTGAATGTGCTCGCGTTGATGAACGCGATGATGGTGATCGGCGGGTGAAAGAAGAGCTTGAAGACTTGGATGGGGTTGGCGGACTTCTTGGGTCCGCTTCGGTTGAGCGTGTCCGGCAAGAAAAAGAAGGCCTGTTCGTACGTGCGTGGTGATAGAGGCAAACACTCGGTCACACTAGGGCATGCGCGTGTGCGTGTGCGTGTGCGTGTGCGTGAAAAGCACCATGGTGGCCAGTATGAAGGCTGCCACGCTGAGAGACCAGAAGATTGTTCGCCAACCCAACAGCTCGCCAACAAATCCTGTTGCAGACGAGATGCGATCACAAGGGTCAGCAGAGTCGGCCAGCGCCAGTGTGTCTGGGCGAGAAGTATAGTGCCTCCCACGACGGGTCCCAGCACGGTGCCCAGGAGCACAGTGACCGAATACCATCCCTGTGGGGGAGGGGGAACGCGCGGGGCCACCGCCAAGTCAGTTCGGCCTCAATGCTCTCAAACCTGGGGCGACCGAGTACAGAAAAAGGAGATGAGCGCGGCGAAGCGCACCATGGCTTGGCCTCGGATCGCCGGCGGGTAGACATCGGCTATCGAGCCTGGGTAGAGGAGAACAGGGTCGAAAAGAGATCACGACGTTAGGCTCGTGATGCACGCAATGCAGAGAAAATAAATTTATAAGAAAACAGGACAAGTAGAGGGTGTGGTGTACTACCTGCCCCGACTATACCCGCTGCTGAAAGACCAATGCCCTGCAACATTCGCGCCCCAATCAATGTGTACACATGCTGCGCTGAACTTGAAGTTGCACACGCTCAGACACGCAATACTTTGCACGACACACACACAACACACACACATAACACACAACACAACACACAACACAACACAACACACACAAAGAGAGAGAGAGAGAGCAGGTACCCTGCGATGATGGCGGCGACGATAAATATGAGCAGGCAGGAGAGGAGCACACCGCGGCGGCCATACCGATCGCTCAGCGGACCCCACGCGAGCGGACAGAAGCCCACCGTGAGCGCGTAGGCCGACAGAGTGAAGGCCACCATCTCCTCTGTTGTCTCCAGGTCGGCGATCACCTGCAACGCACGCACGCACAGAAGGCGATGAACGACAGCAGCAAAGCAAGAAGTTGTGGTGGCAGATGAAGATGATGAAGATGTAGATGAAGATGAAGATGAAGATGAAGGCCGGACATACGACGTTCAGTGTCGGGAGGTACATCGTGGAGGTGATAGGCGGCAACAGGGCGGGCAAGGCCACCAGGGCCAAGACTCGCTGCCGCACGGGCACCCACTTGGCATAGGGATCCTCCTTTGAAAGATGAGAAATCAACACAAGATTGGATTTTTAAATGCCCGGTGTGGCCGAAGATTAAAAATGGAAGAAAGTAGTACCTGCTCTTCTGTGCTGATGGTCTCTACAACAAGTTCCTTTGCGGAAGGAGGAGAGGAGTAGAAGGGGACCGGCGGATCTCCTCGAGCCTCTTTGAGTGGTGTTTGCTCCTCCCTTTCCTCTTCATCTGCCGTGCGCCACTTCATCTTATGGTGTATTGCAATACTTTACAGTACTTTGCTCGCCCAGAGCTGTCGGCGAGTAACCCGCCAATCCTTCCCCGACGGCGCCCGCTCGTCCCTATCGGCGAAGCTTCGGCGCTCGTGGCTCGCCCTAGGGCGCACAGTGTTTATATAGCCCCAAGGGCGCACATCGACACACACACGCACACACTCACAACACCGTCCCATGTCGTCCGATGCTCAGTCATCATCCGCGCGGCCCACGACGTTGTCGCCTACGCTGCGAACTGGAATCTTCCCGGCGTCTGGCGGTCTGGGCGGCAGCACCCTCGCGCACCTCCTCTCCTCCGTCGACCCGCACACCGTCACCCTCATCGCGCGCCAGCCCGAGAAACTCGCCAAGCAAGCCGAGCAAGGCGCCACCGTTCGAAAGGCCGACTACGACGACGAGTCCTCTCTGCAGCACGTCTTTGACGGCATCGACGTCTTGTTCCTCATATCCTATCCCAGTATCCAGCACGAGCACCGTTTCAAGGTTAGTTGGTTGGTCAAACTCGCGCCCAATCTCAGGCCTCCGGATCTCTGTGTCTAAACTTGATCTCTCGCTGACGCGTCTTCATCGGTGGCCACACCGGGCAGGTGGCTAAAGCGGCAATCGACGAGGCGATCAAGGCAGGAGTCAGGCACATCTTCTACTCGTCCCTCGCCTTTGCCGGCGACGGCAACCCGACGTCCGTCACGCAGGTCATGGCGGCGCATCTCTCGACCGAACAGTATCTCGCCCAGGTCCAGCAGAAGAACCCCACCACCTTCTCCTACACCGCCGTGAGGGAGGGCCTGTACTCGGAGAGCTATCCCATCTACACCGCCTTCTTTGACATCAACAACCCGCCGGCCTCGGGCGAGATCCGAATCCCCCACAACGGCTCCGGTCCCGGCATCTCGTGGGCCAAGCGGGACAACCTGGGCGAGGCGACAGCACGTCTCATTGTCCGCTACATTGAGGATCCCGCGTCGTTCCCCTGGCTCAACAAGATCATCGTCCTCTCTGGTCCGCGCGCCTACACGCTCAGCGAGACGGCCGACGTCTTCTCGCACATCCTCGGCAAGCCGATCAAGATCGTTGAGACGAGCGTCGACGACTACGTCCAACAGCCGCAGGTCAAGTTGGGATTCGACTACGGGACAGGGGACTGGGCGCGGTTGTGGGCCAACTCCTTCGAGGGCATCCGCCAATCCGAGACCAACGTCGTCAACTCGCACCTGCGTGACCTGCTGGGGCGGGAGCCCGAGGACTTTGAGACGACCATTCGCAACAGCCTTGCGGCCACGAAGGAACAGTAGTCTATGAGCTTGTGACCTTTCTATTATGTGCAAATGCAGTGAAGTGTCAGTTGCATCAAAGTTCTATAGTACGAAAACCTGACAGTGAGCTATGACTGTTGGTGGTGGTGCTTCATCATGAGATACCGCCGATTGCGCTCCACCACGACCAGCACCACCACCGCCATGGCCACTGGCACCATCATCACCATCAGCACCAACGCCAATCCCGATGTTTCCATTGATCGCGAGGGTGAAGGCGAGGGAAAGGGCGAGGCGGAGCTCGAGGGGGATGACGAAAGAGTAGGCGAGGGCGTGGGCGAGGGAGAGGGGGTGGGTGAGAGCGAGGATGATGACGAGAGAGAGGGCGTGGGCGAGGGCGATGAAGACAAAGAGGACGACTGAGAGGGAGAGGGCGATGTTAAGGGTGGCCTGCATGGACCCCCTGCTCCCTCACATAGGCAGACTGGACGACGATCATCGGCCCGCTCCCGCCGCCAATAACACGCTCGTCGTCCACCGGGCCGGCTGTTTCCCCTCGTCATCGTGGGCAGAACATTCATATCTGTTACATATTCTCATATATGGAATCTTTTATTTCTTCTTTTTTTTTATGTACACCCCCACGCTGTGGTGGAGATCGACAGGCCGAGCAGTCGTGTTTACTTCTTGCGGCCGGCGGTGAATCGAAGGCCGAAGTAGGCGACCACGTTCCACAAGGCCAGCTGCATGAAGAGGAACAGGAAGCTGGCCCAGATTTGGTTCTCCTCCTTGTCCAGGTTCATGGCGTCCAGCACGTCCTGACCAGCTGATGTGTGTGTGGTGTGCGTGGAATGTGTATGTATGGAATGATCAACATTCCACCTCGAGATGCCAATGCTAGGTTGGGGCGGAGGGCGTACTGGCATAGATGCAGGTGCCGTTCACCCGTTCGGACGGCTCGCAGGTGAATTGGAGCCCATCGAACTCATTGATGGCGAGTATCTGGAAGCCGTACTTGAAGAGACTGAAGTACTTGACCCACGCCACCCACGAGGGCACGCTGTCTTCGTTCACCAGCAAGCCGCTGAAGATGGTGAACGGAATGAACGCCGCCGGCAGGAGTGCTGAAGTAGCCGTCACCACACGATACGTCAGCACAACTACGTCCACGCAGGAAGGAAATGATGACAAACATGAAAGCGTACCAAAGGCCGCGTCCAGGTTGGGAGTCGACGCGCTGATCGCGATGGCGAGCGAGGCCGAAACGAGGGTGACCAGAATCATCGCCGCCATGAAGATGAAGAACTTGTCGGCATCCGCCTGGAAGCCCACCTGTGATGGGGCAACATAAAGAAGAACCGAACGCAATGTTAGTTCTACTCATCATGAAGAATCACGGCGAGGAGCAGTTCCATACCATCCAGTAGGCGATGCACGAGAAGAGGGCCGGGTAGAAGGCGAGGAAGGGCAGCTGGGCGAGGTTCTTGGCCACGTAGTAGAGGAAGGTGCCGTAGGCTCCCGCCGAATGCTCCTTGATGAATATCATGCGCTCCGAGTGGAAGATCATCACCACCGACATGAGCGTGTCAATCGACTCGTTCGTAATCACGAAGAACAGCGCTCCCTTCCGATCCTGCACCAACCAACAAACCAACACGCGTGAGCTTCTTCGCTCAGCATGGAGCGTAGGGCTGTGTGGGTGCGTACGTCGATACTTGTTCGGTCGTTGTCGTCGCCGATCCGCAGGTAGATGATGCCGACGACGATGGCCAGGAACAGCGTCTGGATGACGTGGAGGTAGGTGGCTGTGGGCTCCCGCAGCCGCTCCAGGAAGGTCCTATAGAGCAGCAGCCCGAGCCGCAGGATGCTGGACGGCTTGCCGCCAGTGGCGGAGGCCAACTGACTCTTGTCCATAACCTCCGCCTCCTCCGAGGCTCTGCCTGACTCCACATCGTCCTGCCTCCTACTATCATCTTTTCCTTCTTCGTCGTCTTCATCGCCGTCGTTGGTTGATGGCTTCTCCACCTTGTTCTGCAGCAGATCGGCTTCGGCGGAGGAGTCCTGATGCTCGGCATTCAGGGGGTCCTCATCGGCCGTGAGCCTCCGCAGCCCTTGTTTGGATCGGTAGGCGTTCACGAGGCACTTGACCCGCTCCACTCCCTCTTCCTTGGTCCCAATGTAGCTGTCGATCTTTGCCAAGTTCACTGCGAATGGTGGAAATCGAAGCGTCAGTCACGGACGGCGCACCCCCGCGACTGGGTAGACTGACGCACTGATGTACTCGGCAGGGTTGGTGTACTGCGGGCAGGGGTACCCCAAATCGGCGAAGTAGGCCACCACTTCACTGGTCGGTCCGGAGTAGATGATGTGACCCTCGCACATGAGGATGAGCTTGTCGAACATCAAGAAGATGTCCGTGCTGGGTTGTAAAAAAAATGAATGTAAGGCTCAAAGAACGAAAAGCGAAATGAATCTGGTGAAGTGCGGGGGAAGTGGGCGGACCTGGGCTGATGGATGGTGCTGACGATTGTGCGGCCCTTGGAGGCCAACGTCCGCAGGGTCTCCACCAGCGTGTAAGAGGTGGAGTAGTCCAGGCCGGAGGTGGGTTCGTCCAGGAAGAGCACCGACGGGTCGGTGATCATCTCCACACCAATCGACGCGCGCTTGCGCTGGCCGCCGGAGATGCCGCGGTGCTCGACGTTGCCGATGCGGCTGTTGCCGCAGCCCGACAGACCCAGCTCGTGGATCAGCTCCTCCACGCGGCGGCGGACCGTCGACGAGGGCTTGTCGACTCGCAGACGAGCAGAGAACCAGAGCTCCTCGCGGGGCGTGAGGTTGGGCGACAGGATGTCGTCCTGAGTGACGTAGGCGCTCATCCGCTTCCACGACCGGCCCACCTTCTTGCGCGAGGTGCCGTTGATGCGCACCTGGCCCACCTGCTTGCCTCCGCTGTCCTTGCCGATCAGCGTGTTCAGCAGTGTCGTCTTGCCCGCACCTGCAATCAATCAGAAATATATGACTATGTTAAAAAAAAATATATGGTTTGTGAGGGCACTGTGTGTGGTGCGTACCGGAGGGACCCATGATGCAGGTGAGCTCGCCCGGAAGGATGGTTCCGTGAAGATTCTTGAGGAGGAATCGCTTGCCGGTCTTCTTGAAGGCGAACTTCTTGCCCTCGGGCTTGGTGGCGACGGTGTAGCCCAGGTCGGACCAGGAGATGGTGATGGGAGTGACCGAAGTGTGGGTCGTGGTGGCTTCTCGTGGCGTCGTAGGGTCGCCTCCGTCGGTTCCGGAGGTGTCGGAGTCGCTCATGCTGTCGATGCTGTCGAGTTCGGTGCTGTGAGACATGGGTAGTAGTGCTTCTCTTTTGCTTTCAATTGAAATGCTTGCTACTCTCGATGTTCTTTTTGTAGGTCGACCGCGCATTATGGCTAAAATCCGATTGGTTCGGGTGGTGTAGATTCTATTTAATTGGTTTTGACTTTGTCGCGATTGGTGCCGCCGGTCCGCGACGGGGCCAATCGGCTTTTGTTTTTGGAACTCAGTGGCCTATCGCGTACAGGCGATCTCGCTGTAGGTTACATGGCATACAGTGTTTTCAATATTATCTATGGCAAGGCGTACCATCGGCGACCATCGCTCGGAGCTGCCCGACGAACGGCCACACACAGGCAAAGGTCAACGCCGTCACGTTGCGCTCCAGCGGCGCCATAACGGCTGATGCGTACCTGCCCACGCCCAAAGCCCATGTGTACTCCCAACGAACAGCGCCGGTAGCACGACACCACTAGAAAGTTCATCGAGTTGAAGGACTCAAAAAGGGAGGGCCTCTTCACTTTCTTGCTCGTCACGTCAAACAGCATTGTCAGCAAACGAGAAGGCTAAGCCGCAACAACCAACAAGAAGCGACGCCCAGAAGGCAAAGGTGCACCTGGTAGTTCGCCGCTAAGGAGGAAATTGTGAAGAGAGTGAAATGTACAAAAAAACCGGGCATTGGGGGGAGGGGCACGACCACACGCAAAGAGTGATCTCCCCCTTCTTCGGTTGTTTTTCAGAAGAGTGTGCAGCACTTGCGGCCTCCGGAGCCGCCGAAGCCTAACGAGCCGCCCCTGGACTTGATCACCGTCCGCAGGGCCTCATCGAAAACTGTTTTCACGCCCTGCGGTCGGAATTGGCCCAAACGCGCAACGCAACCAACGAAAACATGAATGAGCAACGTTGCTTTTTTTTTTGGCTCACACGATGTGGTCTGATGAGTAATGGGGGCGTGGTTAGGGTACCTGTTGCGTGAGCGCGCTGCACTCCACGTATTTGACCGCCTTGATCTCGTGCGCCAGCTTTTGTCCCTGCGCTCAGCGCACAATCGGAATCAGCGGCTGATGACGATGGCGGCGCGTGCGCGCGTTCAACACAGCCCAAGAAAGGAAGGAAGGAAGGAATTAGGATACCTCTTGTGTGGAGATGACCTTCTTGCCGGTGGACTGAAGCTGCTTGACGACACCCGTGTCGGATCGAAGGTCCAGTTTTGTGCCGACTGCAGTCCATCAACACAGTAACGAGCGTTTTGCATCAGCTGAAGCCCACGACACACGACACACGACACACGACGCGGCACCACGCCCACACGGAACGATAGGCGTGCATCTCTGCATTGAGATGAGCTGCGAGGTGTATGGTACCGAGCAGGACAGGTGCGCCGGGGCAGTGCTCTCGCAGCTCTTTCACCCACTGGACCACGAAAACGAGGTTAATGACCAGTAAAGAAAAATGAGGAAATTGAGGCGCATCACGACGTGAGGGCAATTACTCGGTTGGTGATGTTGTGGAAGGAGTCGGAGTCGACGAGAGAGAAGCAGGCGATGAAGATGTCGGTTTCGGGGTAGCTCAGGTGGCGCAGCTTATCGTATTCTGTTGTTCAACCATCAGTGACCCAGCAGCAGCAGCTTCATCATCCGATGGGCCATTGCTGATGGGAAGGGGGGACAATGGGAAGGCGTGCCTTCCTGGCCGGCCGTATCCTAGGATCCAGCAATTGGGCAGTGAAATGGAGAGAACACTGAGATGAGTCGAGGTGTGTACTCATAAAGAGGGACGCATGCTGGGACGTACCCACAGGTTGAGATTGTAGCACACGCCCTCGATCTGCACAGCACCACGGATGAAGGGATTGAGAGTGAGGAATGAAGGGAATGAAGGAAATGGGGAATGGGGAGAAGGGAGAAGGGAGAGGAGATACCATCACAGCAGTCTCGTAGTTGTCAAACACTTTATAGACGCAAGACAAGAAGAAGAAGATGAGAATGATGGGCAAACGAACGCAGCTGCACTACGAAACATGCGGGCGGCGTACCTGTGGGCACGTACTCGGAGGGAAACTCGTCTTTGCTGTACGTCGCCAGCAAGCAAGTCTTGCCTGCACCACCGCAGCAGAACAAAGAAATGAATAAAATAAAATTAAAAATAAAAATGTATTAAATCACAATCATGAAGAATCAAAAAAAGAACGAAAACGAAAGCGACAGTGACTGTGGAAGATGGGAATGTGAGATAATAATGGAGTGTGGGTACGAACCTACGGCACCGTCGCCCACCACCACGCATTTGGCAGATTGGGCCTGCATCTATGGATCTATGTGATTTGGAATCTGGGGCGATGAATTGATCTCGTGATGAAATGGAATTTCTTCCAGCGCACGCGAAAAGACTTGTGAGACGGCTCACAGGATGCGTCTGGCAGCAACAAACAGCTGGAAAGGTCACCTTTTCGGGTCTTCCCTGACCGGTGCTTCAACAGCAAATGGCGGGAAGAAGACACGAAATGAAATTACGCGCAATTTCGGGTCACGCAATTACGAAAACGTTTCCGAAATGTAATGAAACTTGTTTTGTTTTGATATGTTTTGAAATTATTAAAAAAAGATTAAAATATTTCCCGTTGCCACGAGGGCAAGGAGCTTAATCTCAAATAACATAAAAGAAATAGAAGATGGAGATGCCCAACGACTTGGCGACGTGCATGGAGACTATTCCGCCGGCGCTCGATGAGCTGGCGAAGAGCCAGGGCACCGTTCAGCAGATCGCGCTTTATTGCAAGGCCGCCTACCAGGAGGGCGCCGACGTCAATGCGGTCTTTGAACAGACCAAGAACTATACCAACGATGCCCTCCAAAATGTAGTTTATCATGTACACAACGTCGGTCTCCAGGTCCGTAATTCTTTCAAATCCCCCCCCCCCAAATCCAAAACCTTTTGAGATCTCAATGCAGATCCTCTCTTGCAGATTACCAACTTCTTGGAGGTTCAAATGAAGGAGATTGAGAAGATCGATCTCCAGGTGCGACTGCTCAGCGAGGTACGCTTAAGCCCCTCAAGCGAACATCTTTCCCATTCATTCTATTTCGTTTCGGTCCTTTTTGGATGATGCAAAGTCGCCGTTGGGCTTGGGCGAGGCCACAGCTCACTTCGCGCTTTCTCTTCTCTTCTCTTCTCTCCTCCCGCTGCTCGTACTGGTCATCCACGTCTCAGCGTATGCGCGCCTGCCACGAAGCGTCGGGCGCGCCCGACAAGCAGCTGATGGAGGCGCCGCACCCCTACAACCAGGCCCTCCCGTCGCGCAAGCTTGCCGGTACGTACTGGTCACCAGCCGACCTTTTGCTTGTGACGTCGTTCTTGCCTGTCGTCGATGTTACACACCACGCCGATGCTCCTTCTCCTCACCTTCTTCTTCTTCATCATCATCATCTCCTTCGTCGTCGTCGTCTCCAACGTCATCTGTGGGCAGGCCACGAGCTGCCTTGGTCGGCCCAGCCCCTTCAGCCCCTCCCGCGCACCATCATCGACCTCAACGCCCTCGACGGCGTGGGCAACGGCGACTCGTCCATCACCTCCTCGCGCAGCGGCGCCCCGTCGCCCCGGTCCATCTCCTCTTCCTCTTCACTCGGTCCGCGCACCCTCTCCCCCCCCCAGAGAACCCTTCAGTTCGCCCTATTCTGCATTCCTTTGCCGTTTACTGACGCTTCGACCTTTCTTCTTCTTCTTTCTTCTTCTCTCTTTCTCGGCTTGGCTTGGCTTGATGATGGTGCGTTGGTGGTGCGGTGCTGCAGCGTCGCCTCACTCGGGCTTTGGTGGCCCGCCTCCTCCCCCGATGAGCTCCGGCGCCCCTCCTCCGCCCCCGCCCGACGCTGGCTTCGCCCCGCCGCCTCCGCCCTACTAAGCCTCAGGCCCTTCGCCATCGATGGCGTCTTCTTCTCTGTACTTGATTGGATTGCAACCTGGGGCTTGCCCACATTCTTCGCATATTTTGGCGCTTCGTACTGCGTGACCAATGGCGTGCACCGTTTTAACTGTGGCTAGGCGACGAAGCGGAGTGAAAACGAACACGAACGAACAAACACAGCGACGTGACCGGCAAAACAGAACTTGAGCTAACTCACATCTGAGACACATCACATCACACACATACGATGCTAAAGATGAAGACGGTGGATGCATCGATGCCTCGGGTGGCGGTGGCGGTCGTGGTGCTGGTCGCACTGCTGGTCGGGCAGAGCTGGGCCTCGTGCTCGGCGGGCACGTCGCAGCTCGGCGGGGCAGCTCCGAGCGCCACCCAGCAGACCCTGGCCCAGGGCTTCCGCGTGAACAGCCCCATCCTCCTATCCGGCTTCACCCCGCGGCTCGTCTCAACTCTCGGTTCGTACCGGCTCTCTCCGCTTTCGCTTTTCGCTTTCTCTGTTCGCCTTCGCTATCGCTTTCGTTCTTTTTGGGCGATCCCGTCAATTTCAGCCGAGGGCCTCGGCTGCCGGTACTCAGCGACCGTTTGGCGCAACCGTTGGGGTCCAAATCTGACGCGCACACGGCAAACAAAACATACAAATCACAACACACGCACAACCGCACACACCCGAATGCTCACCACACACGCACAACACAACACGACACGACACGCGCACAGGCACGGGCTCGATCACCACGGCGCAGATATACTTTGATGCCGGTGCGGAGGGACAGACGACGGGCACCCAGCCGGGCGAGGTGGTCGCCTCGGGCCACTTCACCGTGTCGGGCGTCAGCTTCGACGAGGGCTCCACGGCCACGCAAACGTTGCCGGCGGGGGGCGGCGGCAGCGGCTACATCGCGCTCGAGCCCGGCCTGTACTGGCTCGTGCTGCAGGTGCCCTCCACGCTGGCCTGGACCCACGGCAGCACGCCGGAGCAGTCCAGCGCCGAGCCGGTGGTCTTTGCTGGCCTCCTGCAGCAGACATCGGCCGGCGGCTGGGCCGACGCCGCCTTTGGGGAGAGCCTCGCCGCCACCAGCGCCTATGTCTCCTTCACCGGCTGCCTCGCGCCGTCGCCTTCGCCGTCGCCATCACCTACGCCATCGCCTTCATCGTCGCCATCCTCGTCGCCCTCTTCGTCTCCCTCGCCATCACCTTCGCCATCGCCATCATCGTCGCCGTCATCGTCGCCTTCGTCTTCGCCTTCTTCGTCGCCATCGTCGTCACCATCGTCTTCGCCTTCATCGTCGCCTTCACAATCGCCTTCACAATCGCCGTCGTCGTCGCCTTCATCGTCGCCTTTGCCGTCGCCTTCATCGTCGTCTTCACCATCGCCGTCGATCTACATTCCTCCGCCGGGCCAGTCGCCGTCGCCGTCGCCGTCGCCCTCGTCATCGCCTTCGCCGTCGCAGCCGCCGCCTGGGCCAGTCGCCGTCGCCCTCATCATCGCCTTCGTCGTCGCCGCCGCGCTGGGCCAGTCGCCGACAACGTCGCCGTCGCCGTCGTCATCATCTTCGCCTTTGCCATCGGTCTACGTTCCTCCGCTGGGCCAGTCGCCGTCGCCTTCGCCATCGCCGAGCCCTTCGTCTACGGGCCACGCGGACACCTCCCCTACCCCCTCGGCCAGCGCGTCGGCTTCGGCGGCGCCGTCGGCTGCGGCCTCGTCGGTGGTCACCCCGTCAGCGACGCCGAGTAGCACGCTCGCCCCCTCGCCGAGCCCCACAGCCGCCGTGGTCCCGCTCGGCGTCAACGTGACCGCCAGCTTTGACCTCAAGAAGCCGGGCGTTAGCCTGCTGGCCCTCGGTACAACTTTGCTGTTTGTTTGTTTGTTTGTTGGGCTCGTCGCGCGTTGTGAAGTCGTCGCTGATCAATCTCTTCTCTTCTTCTTCAAGGGCTGGCCGGTGTTAATCTGACCTTCGTCGCCGTCGAGCTCGGCAACGCCACAGTGCCCCTCGGAGGTAATTCCACTCCACCGCCGAACCATTGCCGAGCCCAGAGCTAACGAAACACGCACGACACACGCACACGACACACGCACGACACGCACGGTACAGATTACGAGGTGAGCAATCGTACAGAGACGGACACGAACGGAGCCGAGCTCACGAGCTACGTGTACAAGGCCGCCGCGGCGGACGATTCGACAGAAGTCGCCCAGGGCTACACCTTCCACGACCGCGCCGCCACGGGCCAATTCGAGGGCATCGTCTTCGATATCGACCCCATGTCGTTCAAGTGGACGGCCAACCTCACCGCCCTTGGGGCCCCCGGCGCGGCCCTCGGGCCGTTCGTCCTGCGCTACACCATTTCGGGCACCGCCGCCTCGCCGGACCCGCTCGAGGGCGACGTCACGGTGCAGCTCGACACGCCGCAGAGCGACATCACCACCTACGTGCTGCCCTTGACCACCACGATCACCGCGAATGCCACCACCACGACCACGAAGACGGTCGTGGCGCAGGTGCAGCTGTTCGATCGGGCCATGGTCGACGGCGCGTGGGCGGCGGTCACGCACTCGGTCGTGCGTACGTCGGCGCCGGGCGCGGCGCGGCCGGTCTACGTGATGGAGCTGCGGCTGCCGGCCTACACGCAGTCGCTGCACTACGATCCGTCGCTCAACTTGGGCGCGCTGCTGGGCGCCTCGGATCGTGATGGTGGAATTGGAAGCGACGGCGATGGCGGCGACAACATGGGCCTCATCATCGGGGTGGCCGTGGCGATACCGCTCGCTGTGGTGTTTGTCGTCGCCGCCATCGCCGCGGTGGTGACCTTCACGTGGCATCGCAAGCGGAGGGCGCGAAAGGCCAACCTGAAGCGACGAAGCGTGATCAACTTCCACGACCTTTAAAAAACAGAACAAACAAAAATGTAAATATATGAACAAAAGAGCAAATAAATAACAAAAGTAAAAATAAACCTCTAAAAAGAAAAATCAGAAGAAAAATAAGAAAAAGATGGAAGCAGACCAAACGCGAGGCGAGGCAGGGCTGCCTTGTGCAGTCAGCGCGGCCAAGCGGAAGCGAGACGACGAAGCGGAGGAAGTGCCACAGCAGCACAAGGCTCCCAAGAAAAAGCTTTCCAAGCGGGAGCGCCGGGAGCTGCGCCACAAGCATCAAAAGGCGCTGCCGCTCCGGCCCAGCGACGCCGCAGACCAGGCCCCTGTGGTGGTTGCTGCAGCGGCGGAACGTGACCAACCTCCCTACATCATCGACTCCGACAAAGGTTTTCTATTTATTTTGAAATTTAATCAATATTCTATTTTGCTTATTTTATTTATTTTATTTTTTCTGCTTATTTTAACGTCACAATGGTAGGGCTGCGAAGAGTGGGGCTGTACCACTACGAGTTCAAGACGCATGCCAAGGGGCGATGGGTGGGCCGCACCGTGCTCGACGTCTTCGCCAAGGAGTTCTCGGCCCACTCCCTGGCCTACTATGTACCCGTCGCACTCGTTCACTCCGTGTAATGTGTCGTGTCTTGTGTCGTGTAACGTTTGTGGCTTACGAGGCGCAACACACATGAAACGCGCAGCACGAGGCGCTCAAGGACGGGCGCATCAGACTCAATGGCCAGATCGTGGACGAGGGCGCGGTGGTGCAGGAGCACGACGTGCTCTCGCACCTCATCCACCGACACGAACCGCCGGTCACATCGGCGCCCATCAGGATCGTCCACCAGTCGGACGAACTAGTGGTCATCGACAAACCCGCCAGCATTCCCGTACGCCTCGTCAGCCACACACGACACACACGACACACACACACGACACACAGCTCAACACGGCAGGGCTTGATGTTCGTTCCTGGCTTCTGTGCACGCAGGTCCATCCATGCGGTCGGTATCGACACAACACGATCGTCTTCCTGTTGGCCAGAGAGTATGGCTTGCCAGACCTCCATTGTACGACACCGCCACACATACCGTCTTGTCGCTCTCTCTCTCTCTCTCGCAGTCAGCTAAGCCTGAGTGTGGGCGGCGGGGGCGGCGACGGTCAGCGGTGCACCGGCTGGACAGGCTGACGTCGGGTGTGCTGCTCCTGGCGCGCTCCTCGAGCGTGGCCTCGAAGATGATGAAACAGATCCAGAGCTTCCAGGTGCGGAAGACCTACGTGGCCCGCGTGCGCGGTCGATTCCCCGAGTACGGCTCAAATTCGCCCCGTAGCTCACCCACTCAGTGGCCAACGACTCAGATGACGCACACGACACACGACACACGACACACGACACACGACACACAGGGGCAAGCTGACCTGTGATGACCCCTTGACGGTGGTGAGCCACAAGACGGGGCAGCGCAGGGTGGCGGACGAACCGGACGAGCTGCCCACTGAGGGCGAACCATCATCAGCAGCAGCAGCGGAGGGCGCGCAGGGCAAGGTCAAGACCGCCACGACCGTCTTTGAGCGGTTCCGGTACGACGAGGAGAGCGACACGTCACTGGTCTGGTGCGTACCCGAGACCGGCCGCACGCACCAGATCCGGGTCCACCTCCAGTCGCTGGGCCACCCCATCCCCAACGATCCCCTCTACGCCGGGTGCGTACCCTCTCTGCTGGGCGCGTTGTTGGTGGTGGTAGCTGGCCTGGGGCGGTCTACTGACGCGTGAAGCTCGGACCCTGCGCGCTGCAGGAGGGAGAAGGGCGACGAGGGCGCCAAGGAGGAGGGCGAGTGCGCGGAGTGTCACCAGCGCGGCGTGTTCGCGGATCCGCGCGAAGACGAGATGTGCATCTGGCTCCACGCCTACTCCTACGAATGCGTCGGCCACTGGCTCTACAAAACGGAACTGCCCTCGTGGGCTGCTTGAGACAAACAACAGCACAGCCAGCTCAGAAGCCAGGGGGGATGCACCAGATCTGGTGGAACGGAAACACGGTGTTCGAGCCGGGGCGCTGTGAAGCCGACTTGACGGCTTCACGACGGAAACGCCGAGGAAAGAGAAGAGGGGAAGAAAGGGGGGGATCAGGCCGAGGCGGGGAAATAGCAGGCGGAGAAGGCCTTGCGGTCGACCAGCAGCAGGGAACCGCCGCTCGGGTTCCATACAATGTCCCTCACATGCAGCTTGGTGTCTGTACAACGGATACCGGGTATTCAGAAAGCGGCGCTCAACACACACACACACACACACGTGGGTACACACCTTTGGGAAGGTCGCAAGAGAGGCACGCCGAGGGCGACCAGAGATAGACCACGCGACTGGCAGTGCAGAGTGCGAGGCGTGTCTGCGTGGGATGCCAGCGGGCGGACTTGATAGGATGCCTCTGCACGAGCAGCGCAACGAGGGACATCTTCACCGCGTCCCAGACCCACAGCATGTTGGGCACGCTGTCTGTGACGGCCGGGTGTCGGTGAGTGACCGTTTGGCTAATGGGCGCGTGCGCGGGTGCGCGGCGTAACGAAGGAGCCAGGGCACGTACCGCTTCGTGTGAAAAAGTGAGAACTGTCGTGGCTCCAGCTGAGCATGCCGATTCCCAGCTCCGGGTTGGCCTTGAGTGGATCAACCCGCACGCTCTTGAACTCCACCGGATCGTCATTGACGCCATCTGGGGGAAAGACACGCGCAACGATCGTGATGAGCAACCTGCCGGGTTCGCTCCTACTAGAAGTGAAAGAATGATACTTACAAATGGTGCTCCGCACGCCCTCTGCCTCGGGTCGGGGCTCTTCGTCTTCAGACCCACGCCCATCAGCCCAGGGCCTATCGATCTCCCTGAAGACGGTCTGGAGGGTCACAGGGGGATGAGCCTTCAGCTGAATAAGTCCAGCTGGGAGGCGGCGGCGTGGCCCAAGCTAGTACCGTCTCTTTGCTCCTTGTGGCCGCCGGAGTGTGCTTACATTCCATCTCGACCTTCCACGTGCGCGAGTTGATCAGTCGTACCGTTTGGTCGTAGCTCCCCACGGCTATGTACTGAGTGTCTGGCGACCTGTGAGATGGCAGTGCGATGCGATCAGCTTTCTTTCGCCTCTCACCATCAACCGACTCGTAACACGCCAGAGAAAGGAGCTCGAGAGGAACGCACCAAGCCACCGTCTTGATCGAGAGCTGGTCTTTGTAGGCCGAGAAGGACTTCTTTTGAGGGGCGGCCGCCGTGGTAGTGGTGCTGCTCGCGGAGAGGGGGTAGAACATGACCTTGTACTACACGCGGAACAATGACGTTGTCAGGCCTCCAGTGGTGAAAGACAGTACACAGAGAGAGGAGTTCGTACTGGCATGTGGGATGCCTCCCACACGCAGAGGGATCGGTCGTCGGCCGACCACGCAAAGTCGCCCAGGTCCTGGGTCTCCACAGCAATCCTCTGCAGAGTGTGAAGGTGGAAACAAGGAGCGCGGAGTGGGTGAGGTGTACTACTACTACGACTGCGTCAAGCTCTCTCCTCTCTGGTTGGTGGTACCTTGGCCAACATCCACTGCTTGGCGCAGTCGTAGATGGCGATGTAGTCCTTGCAGCCCTCGCGCTGGGCGACGGCCATGTACCGGCCCCTGTGGCTGAAGTGTAGGCCGCGGATGCCCGTATCGTCGTCCTCCTGCCGCCGCCCGTCGACCTCCTTGCCCTCGCGCTCGGGTGTGTCCAGTACCGAAGACCACGAGTACTTAGGGTGCTTCACGTGTTGCACCACGCTGCCGGTTGCCAGCGACCACACTGCCACGAACAGCTGCACGTCAAGTTGAAGGTCAAGATCGGATGAAAGCACCATGTTAGCAATGAGGAGATGGGCACCTGAAAGTCGCTGACGATGATGAGGTGCTTGGAGTCGGGCGCCCAGCGTACGGCCGTTACGCCTGGCAGCAGGCTCTCCTCATCGATGGCGGCCCGCCATTCGGTGTCGAGTAGCGAGAAGACCTCTACGACATTCTTGCTCAATGAAAGGCACAGAAGGGACTGGGAATCAGGCGACCAATGCAATTCCTCCACGATCTCTTGGCATGCGAAGATGTGCAAAATCTCGAGATTCTCATCGCGCACGATGAGTTGGTATTTGGAAGCCGATGCCAAATAGCGCCCGCTTGGGGACCATCTGCAGTCGAGCGCCGACGTGTGCGCGAAGCACTTGCTGAACTCCAGATCCATCTCTCTAACGATAAAACTTCAAACCTGCTGCATTTCTACACCATTTTGGCGCGAAGGGGGAAGCGTCCGCTCACGTGGTTACACGTCAGCACAACGAAAGAAAAAGCGAGGAAAATCTGGAGAAAATGCCACGGAATAATACATTGCTGTCAAAAGAATCAGAGCACGCGGTTGCGGTCGGGGTGGACGAGGAGGCGAGACTGATTGAGGAGTTCGATGGTGATGCGGCACGGCCGGAGGAGCCACGGCTCGCCGTCGACGTGGGCCGGAAACTCCTTCTTGGTCAGGATTTCCACGCGCGTGCCCTGCGCCAGCTTGATCGCTTCGCTCACCCCTAGCATTCGAATGAGCGCCATGTTAGTGTTTCGCACACGACGCACACGACACGCTCGACATACCTGTGACGATAGCACCGAGGTGAGCAACGCCCCGCATGCCCACGATCTCGAGTGTGCCGTCGCCGATGGCGGGTGCGACATATTTGAAAGCCGACGTCCGCTTGTGCGCCAGATGGTAAACGTTGCTGTGCAACGAGTCCTCTCGTCCCTGCGTGGGTCAAGGTAAGCTCATGCTGTGTGCGGTGGCGCGTGTGCGTGTGCGCACCCAACACTTGGCGCCGCCGTATGTAGGAATGTTCATCACGATGAGGCTCTTGATCTTCTTGTCGTTGATTCGGAGCGTCTCCTCGTGCTCTCCGTGCCACACCTTGACCTGGATAAAGTCCCTGAAATTCTTGAAATGCTTTCGTTCGTTCTTGGCCGTGCGCGCCGACATCCCATAATACCAACCCTGCCCATGCGTGTGCGGTGGCGCGTGTGCGATGGTGCGCGCAGCGTGTGCGGGATAACCGGAAGTCAGTAGGTGGCAACACATCGACACGAAAGGAGGGCGGACGGTACCTTGTTGATGAGAACGTTGCGGAAGAGTTCCTTGTGGTGCTCGCGCATGCGGTGGAATCGAAGCACGATCTCGGCGTCGACTCCGATGGAGAAGTAGTTGTTCATGATGTACTCCATTTCGCCCGGCTCGGCCCGCATGCCCTCGCGCAACATCTCCTCGTCCTGTCCGATCTCGGACCGATCGCCGTCGCCAACTTCTTCCGTCAACGTTTGTCGCTGCGTCACCTCCTCGGCTTCGTCTTCGTTGTGCTCCGTGCCCTCTTCGACTACGAACCCGCCGTGCTCTTCGTTTTCGTTCTTTGTCTCGCTCTCGTCGACGTGTCGCTGTTGCCGCTGCGGATCCGCTTTTGTGGGTGCATCGGAGGCGGAACAGCCGTGCGGTTCTTCGTAGTCCTCTTGCGTGCCGTCCTTCGCCAGCTCTGCCTTTCTCCGCTCCTCTACTTCCTCCAGCAGTGTCACTGACAGTTGCCACCTTGTTGTGCGTACGACACACACACACACACACACACAGACAGACAGACAGACACACACAGACAACATAAGCCCACACCGATTTGGTGCTTGAGAGCGGAGTGGGTGGAGTTGAGAGTACCTGTCGAACAGGGCGGAGGAGGCCCGACTCATGGCGCGCATTACCTTGGGCAACTTTTCGCAGCGGGTGAACGACGAGCCCCACCCGCAGGCCCGCGACAGGTCGTTTCCCGTACCTGGAGACGTGCGCGTGAGTGCGTGCGTGTGCGTGTCGCACGCGTGAATGGCGACTATGGTGAGAAACTCACATCGCAACGCGGAGGCGGAGGAGAGGATCAGTACCGAGGGGGATGATGCCCATGGGTGGCTTTTGGGCGAGGGAGTGCTCGGTAGCCAGCTTGTCGAGAGCGGTGAGCACCCAGTTAGCCGTCCCATCGCCGCCGCACACCACCAGCCGATAGTGCGGAGTCTTCAACCACCGCTGGAACCTGAATGATTGTTTGATGAATCAGCGCACACACCGCAGACGACGCACACGCGGGGTGTTTAGAGCGTACCCGCGGTTTGGGCCTTTGTCGTCGATGAGACTGAAGATCTGGTCGTTGGGGAGCAATTCGAGAAAGCGGTTCATGACCCGCTGGCCCAGCTTCCCTCCGCTGTTGCGATTCACGAACACGATCCAGTGTTGGTCCTCCAGCCGCTCTTCGACGCCACGCGCCTCCCTCTTCCCTCCGCCCATCGAGCTCGTCGAACCCCACAGGTCCTCCACCTCGCGCAGCTCGCCGCTTCGTCGCTTTTGCTCTTTCTTCGCTCTTCGCTCTTTGGTCTTATGCTTGATGAGCTTCTTGGTGGCCAGCACCGTGACGCCGAGCGAGTGGAGCATGTCGTGCCACTCCTCCTCGCCTTCGGTGTCGCTGGCCGAGGCCTCGCTGCCGAGGCTCCCCCGTCGCCGCCGCAGACGAAACCCGCCGCTTCGCGTACCGCTGGCCTCGTTACCGCTGGCGCTTCCGGTACTGTCGACACTGCTGGTGTCATCGTCATCTGTCGGCACTCCGGCGGCCGCGGCGGTCAGCATGGCGCCGTCGGTGTTGCGTCGGCGGCGGCGGCCCTTGGTCAGCACGAGGTTGCCGTCGCTGGCGCGCCGCGAGTCCAACCTGCCGCCGATTTGATCCATGTGCCTCCGCCACAGGGCGCCTTGAGTGTCGTCCACGGTGGTCACCGCCGCACGCTCGCCGCTATCGTCGCTCTTCGTTCTTTGGAAGATGAGCGCGGCCGCCGCTTCGCTCTTTCGAGTCTCCGACGCGCTGTCAATCACCGCGTCCGCGCTCCCGCTTCGCTCCATGCCTTTGCCCAGATCGAACAGGGCATCGACTTCGCTGCTATCTCCGCCGTCGGCGGCCGCAGCTGCTTCCGCTGGCAAGTGCCTGCCAGACCTGGGGCTGAACAGCGTGAGCACGTTCTCGTCGCTCTCCGTGTCCTGTTTGTCGCCCGTTGTTGCCAGCAGCGAACGAGCGCTTCGCTTCCTCGTCATCCACTTCTTGATGGTGACCGCTTCCACTGCCTTCTCGCCGCTGTCGTACTCCCACGCAGCCTGCTCCTCCGCCCCGTGCACTGGGATCTCGATCTCGCCGCGGTCGTTGTCGGCAGTCGATTGCTTGGCCTTCCCTCCGTGATCGTCGCTCTTCGCTCTTTGCGTCGCCTTCGCTTCGCTTTCGTTCTTTGCCGCCTCGCCCATAATTGGCGTGGACAGGTGGTCGCCGCTGAGCTGGGGCAGCGCCAGCCGCTTCCGTGGGCCGGGGCTCACCGGCCGTCCTCCAACGCCGCCGTTCCATCTTTGCAGTTTCTTTTCGAGCTGCTTCATCTCCTCTTGGCCTCCCTCTTGGTTCCTTATCCTCGCACCGCTAAGGGTTCCCAGAGCACCGCAGGGAAGTTGGTGATGTCCATCTTCATCTTCAGGTTGCGCGAGCTCGGGGCAGGACAGGGTGAGCGTAGGGGCGATGGTCTTCCTCAAAGATGAAGCTTGATGGGATGAAGATGAAGACGACGACGAGGAAGTGGCTGCCGAAGCGTTGTTGTAGCGTTCCATGAGACGAAGGAGAGCATCCATCTTTCGATTAATCTCGTTATTGATCTCCCTCATCTCGTCTTCATCCAGCCCCGAATCCCCATCATCGTCGGCACTGGCCATGAGGAGGTCCTCCTGCATTCGGCGCAGCTTGGCCACCTCATCTTGCACGCGCCGCCAGTCCAGCGTGCGCTGCCGGCGCCCCTCCTCTTCCTCGCCCCCGTGCATGCCAAAAATAATACCAACGCAAATAAAAGCACAGACACAAAATAAAAAAAAATAACTTAAGTTGCTTAGGACCCAGCCAATGGGTGAGGAGATAATTATCGCAGATAAGAAGCGAAGCCACGCACTGCTTGGTGTTTGTGGGTTTCTGAACGCTTGCGCGTGACAACCGCTTGGTTCGTACAACTTATTCTCCTTTCCCTCTCCTGCGGTCTTCTTGAAGAAGAATAGCTTAGATGATCTTGGGGAAGAGGTTCTGGTCGATGAAGTACTGAGCCTGCTCCCTGAGGAGGGCCTCCGTGACCTGGGGCACGTCGTAGGTGAAGCTGCACGCGACCACATCACGTCAAGTCAGCCCGGTGCGCGAACGAACGAGGCAAGTGCTAATAGTTGCCCACGTACCCAGTCGACTCGATCTTGCCGCCATCAACGGAGAGAGAGTTATTGTACAGCAGCTCCTGGTCCAGGTAGGGCGTCAGGGGCGTGTTGGTGATGCCGTGAGCCTGCAAAGATAAAAGCCGCAGCGTAGAAGGTGAGAATCAAGCCATCAATCAGTGATGTCACCCACGAGCGTGGAGGTCACCTTGCAAAGCTCGGACCAGGGCTTGAGGTGCTTGTCGTTGATCTCCTCAGTGACGTTCTTCATGTTGAGCTTGGCCATGTTCGACACGACGGAGCCCAGGAAGCCAGTCTTGATGTGGAAGAGCTTCTCAAGGAAATCGTTGATGGTACCCTGGGCTACAAGGGGGAAAAAAAGAAGGGTTAGTAAGTGCTACGATCAGGAAAACGCGCCAACAAGCAGACGAGGTGGGCGGTGCCGTACTGGTGTCGCCCTTGTCAGCCAAGTTGAAGACGGAGCCGACGGGGCACCTGGTAGCCACGTGCCACAGGGCCTTGCAGACGTCGTTCACGTGGACGGTGTTGAGCCTGAGGTCGGCGCCCCACAGGAACTTCATCTTCTCGTCGAGGTGCTTGTAGACGGCACCGCAGATGAGGCGAGGCGCTGTGGACATCACACACACACACACACACAGTAGACAAGATGATGAGCACTAGAGTCCGCGCTGAGAGGAGAGAGTAAGGGTGGGGCGTACAGAGGCCGCTGACGTCGCCGGGGCCGTAGATGACGGCAGGGCGCAGGATGCTCAGGTTGAGGCTGCACGAGCAAGAAGGGAGGCCAACAACGTTGGTGTAAGCAAGCGAACGAATGAGCTGATGCAAGGCTGCATCGCGATGGAGGACGTACCCAGCCATGCCCTGCAGCTCCTTCTCGGATTCGAGACAGAACTCAGCAATGCCGGTCCAGGGCTTCACCGAGGAGTCCTCCTTGCTGGCTTTCTGAAGTGGGCCAAAGAGGAGGAAGTCAGACATTAAAATCCCTCTACGATTTGTTTTTGATACAATTCAATTGAATTTCCCTTTGAGGAAAGGGGCGATTCGAACCTTGCCGGCCTCGTAGACCTGCGCGGTAGAGACGTCGATGAACCTCTCAACGCCCTGCTTGACCGCCTCGGCGGCGAGCTTCTTCTTAAGATCGAGGATCTTCTCCCTGTAGACCTGCGTAGCGGAACGTAGAGCGATTAGCCCCGACATCTCAATGTTCGTCGCTACACTTTCCCAAGTCTCAAGGAAGCGTTTATGTACCTCCACGGTCTGGGAGTACTTGGTCTCGCAGGCCAAGTTGAAGACGAGGTTGAACTTGCCGCCCTCAACGGTGAAGCACTTGGCGATGGAGGCTGCCAGCGATGGATAGAAGAAGAAGAAAAGATGAAGCAAATTAGAATTGGGATCAATTGGGATCCAGCTCCAAACGCCCCAACTATCCTCACCACTAACTGTAAAATAGGTGACAAGGCTAGCCCAACGTACTCGGGTTGGTCAAGTTGCCCTGCATGAACTCGACGCGCGAGTCATCGAAAGCGGCCTGGTGGGGCTTGCCGAGGAAGGCCGTGGGGGGGAGGACCTTGTCGACCACGCGAATGTACGAGGCGAGGTCGTTATCCACGAGGTACTTGACGAAGTTGCGGCCCACGAAGCCCACACCACCCAGAACCAACACCTTAGGCTTATCTTCCATCTCTAAAAATATATATTTGCCTCTCTACCTAGCTCTTGCTTGTGCTGCTGAATGGATGGATGAGACGATAATCGTCGTTCTTGATTATTGACGCACCGCGACAACGTCCCAGACCAATTTGGGGCGTGTCGACAAAAACAAGCCGTTCGCTCAACGCGGAAATTGCACCCGCACGATTGGTCCCATTGCGAACGCCACCTTAAGCGGTCGCACACCTAAATGTCATAGTTGGACATGGTCACCTCCGCATAGCCGCCAGACACCTGCACCGATCGGCGTGGGATTGTGAGCGTGCGGAGTGAGAGGATCAAAAGCCGCGGCGAACGGGAGATTGCACTAACACGCACCAGCAGATGGTCGTTGAACTTGAAGCTGTTGATGCCGTCAGTCGAGATGGCCGCCGGCGCTTCGATCGCGTAGGTGCCCGACTTAGGCCAGTCCGTCCTGACCCATGTCATCGAACTCACCTTGTTGTCGCCCCAAACCCATCGTAAGAGATGCAAGGAAGAGCTTTAGGGTGGGTGGGTTGGGTGCGTGCGTGTTCGTACCAGTCTGTCGCGCACTGGGTCGTACTGGACGCACCACACCCGGCCATGACGGTTACTTATGCTGACCGTGCGCAGGGAAGGGAAGTCGTAGAGGTGGACTTCGCCGGCGTACGTTCCCACGGCCTGAAGCGGGGCAAGAACACAAACATACACCATGAACGAGCACGCCCACAGAAGAAGAAGAAGAAGAAGGGAGGAAAACCAGAGAGTGGTGCATACCACGTGCGAATCAGATAGGTGAAGACATGACACTGGCCCCTTGAATTCGAGCGTACGATGAGCGATGCCCGCTCTGCGGTCCCAGACCTTCAACGTCTTGTCGTAGGATCCGGATACGATCACGTTGCCGTCGTCCGATAGACTCAGCCCACGCACGCTGAGTTGATCGAGCACGCTTCAGCAACGCACACACAGAACGCACAGGCACACAATGCAGTGAAAATAATAATTATTACAGTGGGAGCATTACCCGTCGAGGTGTCCTCGCAAGCGTTGCATCGGCTGATTCGTCTCCACGTCCCAACCTTGTGGGCAAAACAAATGGGCATTGAGTTGGCCGAAGTTACGAGATGTGTAGTGCAGCGATGAGGGAGATTCACGCCGTACATATCACGGATCGGTCCGCACTGCACGAAGCCAAGATTCCATTTCTCGTCTGTAATCGCACATTAAGCACCGCGCCTGTGTGTCCGAGCAGAGTCTGGCGCGAAGAGAAAGTCAGGAACGGCGATCGAAGGAGGAGCGAGGGTGACGTTATTATGTACAAGCGCTGTTTCCTCTATGGCCGACGAATCCACCGGGTTGGCGATGTTCCACAAGCGAATGGCCATGTCGTCTGCTCCGCTCTAGATATGACGAAGGTGAGCCTCGTCAGCTCCGCTTTACACAACCAATCTACAGGAACCGACTGGCCGCCGTACCGCGAGCCACTTGCCGTCCAGTTGCACGCAGTTGACCCATCTGTGATGCCCGTGCAGGATCCTCTCCTTGGTCGCCTTGCACTCCCCACTCTCCACGGCCAGATCCCACACTATATGAATGTAAACACATGTTATGTCACCACGCGTTCATTGGTGTTAACTCATCAGCCCACACACTGGTGGGCGAGCTGGGGCGCGAGGTGGTGCAGCTGCGTACGTCGCACAGTTCCGTCCTCGGATGCGGAGGTCAGGTACTGATCGTTGAAATCGACCATCATCACCTTACCGCTACATTGGAGGAATTAGCACCGGACCCGCCTACAGTGCACGGGTGAGGCTGACCGTACCATCGTAGTTTCAGCACCGTCTGCTTCTTCCTCTTGTTCCTCCAGTTGGTTTCTACGTTGAGAACTCGCTTGAAGCGCGCCTTCCAGGTCGCTGAGAGGTTATGTGCGCCGATGATGGATTGATTAGTTGCCTCGCGCGTACGGTGTGAGTGAGCGTGTGGCCAGCGAGGCGAAGGTGGCCGTACGCGTGCCGGGGCCTTCGGGCGTGTTTGAGGGGAGGCGCCACATGCGCTGGAAGGCGCCGCGCCAGGGAGCATTGGAGTTGGCCAGGTGATACCAGTCCCTGCGCAACAAACCACAACCGTAGAGAGAGTTGGTCGCAGTAGTGCGTCACTGGTGGCGCACACTGCCGGCACAGCTGGCATTTTCTATTTTATTCCATTTTTTTGTTTTTTATGTTTCCAGCAAAGCGCTCGGTGTTGCGATTAATCATAAATCTTTTTCGAACCCGATGAAATGGTCCGGGGGGGGGAGGATGTACCAGCAGACGAGGCTCACGGTGTGGCAGAGCGCGACGTGGTCGAGGTGCGCGAACACCTGGTGCCACAGCTCGGTGGGCATCTGCACGCCGCCGCACACCACCGAGCCTCTCCTTTCGCCCACTTCCATCGGCACTGGTGCCTCGCCCTGCTCCTCCTCCGCTTGTTCCATCGTCTTCAGCTTTCTCTCAACTTCGTCCTCACTCGCCTCCATCTCCTGCAGCTCGTACATAAAAAAAGGCGAAATAGCAAAATAGATAGGAATAGCAAACTGTTGTGGTTACCCTGCAGAGCCTGTCCAGTCCGCCTATTGGTCCCCAGGCAGAACATAAGAAGAGAACATCTCCGCCATCGACCTTGCTGGCAAGTTTCTCCCAATTCGCTAATCAATTTTATTTGGGTTTTCTGGAGCGCCCAACCACGACATTTTCTGCTTTTCTCGCAATATTCTCATAACGCGGCAAAGAAAACGTGCAACGAAATGACAATTATAATAATATTTTTTTACTTTATAAATTAATCCTCAGCAGAGATGGTGCCTGCGGTGCTGGTGCTGGTGGACCTCGACTGCCTCTACCAATTCGAGGCGGGCATCCTACAGCGCTTCACTCCGCCCTCCGCCACGCGTGCGTGTTATAATTATTATTATTTATTTATTTTATATTTTTAAATAAGTAATAAAAAACGCATGGCGCTGCGCAGGTGGGAAGAGGGCTGTCGAAGGCGCCGCCATGGAGCGCAGCAGCGAGTATCCGTTCTTGCCGCTACACTGGTTTTGCAACTCGCAGTACAAGAAGCAGCTCCGGGCCGCCTTTGCCGAGGTGCTCTTCCCTTCTTACGAGCGCGAGAGACAGGCCTCTCGAGTTTAACCCCATCGCGGCAACACTCACTCCATCCCTCGCGTGTGTTGCACACAGGAGGGCTTCTTTCGGGATCTGCCACCGCGAGATGGCGCGTTGGCTGCGTTCCACAGCATGTTGGCCTTTGGCCTGGACGTGCGAATCGTCATCTCTTCCACAGCTGGTAAATCTGCTTTACCTGTCGGTTGCGTGTTGGACGATTCTTGTCTCATCGGCAGTACTGCACGTTGTGTGCTAGGAAGCATCGGTGCAGTTAGTGACCAGATGAAGTGGGTGGAGTCCAAGCTTGGGCGCAACTGGACCGATCGCGTCATTGTCTCCAAGGTGAGCAGCCAACCAACTTGCTGGTGCATTGCAGAGCACGACTTGACACTCTGGTCCACACCGCACCATTAGGACAAAACCTTGCTTCAGGCCAACTTCCTGATTGACACCTACCCAAAGCCTGAGCTACAAGTACACTCCCCGCCGCCGACTTGATCACATCGATGGAGGTTAGGCAGAACTGACCAGCCTCGCCCACCAGGTAGTAAAATTGTTTCCTACCATCGGTGACAAGCGAAGCGGACCAACGCCCACCGCAGTTCCATCACCATCTTGGCAACACATTGTGCTCGATGAGGTACGACTCTCGCGCTCTCTCTCTCTCTCGCATACACGCACAGTGTTCAGTACTTCTCCGGCTAGCGCTTGTGTCTGACGGCTTTCTTCGGCAGCCGTACAACGCAGCTGAGGGGAAGGACAAGAAGCGGATGTACGAGTGGAAAAGTTGGAAGGACGTCCTGGGTCTGGGGCGTGTCATAGACTTCCAGAACCACGAAGGGACATTCTCAATCGACACCACCAGCATTCCTTTCTTCAGGTACGAAGACCACGTTCAACTGCTACACTCTGTCGCATGCATTTTGGCTCACGACGACTCGTGGTGGTGAAGGCACGGTTCGGAGAACTCGCTGGATGAGGACACGCTGTACTTGTTTCCTTCGCTGCCCGACGCCAAGGCCTGCGAGAGGTTCATTGCGGGTTCGGCCGACGACAGAAACATCTTCACTGTGACCACGGCCCCAGGGGCGACCGACCAGTCCCGGTCGAAGGTGGTCAAGGACTGCGACCAGGGCTACCCCGATGAAATCAACAACGCGCTGCTTGGTACTCGTATCCCCTGTTGACTAAGCATGATGACACGTCGTAGACTCAACCTCAACACTCCGGCGCAGCCACCTACAGTCTGCACGCGCAAGAGCACTCGCTACCGCTTGCCGGGCCGGTCACGCGCCTCATCGGGACCAAGCTCATCGGTGCTACGCGTTGGATGTACGTCACCGGCGCTACAATTGTGACCACCTCGTGTTGGCGTCACTGTTGCCTGGTGGACTAAACGAGCGAGTCTACCTTCATCACCATTCTCAGATTGTTGAAGTTGATCCGGATGCCGCAGTACCGCGACCAGATCAAGCGATGCGTCAAGATCTATGACTTCAACATCCTGCGGCAAACGCTCGCCGAGATTGACTTCACGACGACGCAGGGCGACACTACAGTGCCGCCCGCCGACCCTGCGCCTGGTGCTGGCAGCGATGAGCAGCCGCGACGAAAGAGGGGTGGCCGCGAGCCGACAGAGAAGCGAAAGGAAAAGCTGACAATCGACGACTACAAGTACATCGCGTTCCAGTTCGGCCAGACGTTGACGCTCCTCCGCGGCCAGGATCTCTACACCAAGACCAGCGTCGCACAGGCGCTGCCAGCGCTCGCCCCCTTCCTTCGGCGCGAGCGGGAGCCGATCCTGAGCACCCTTCACGTGCTCAACTCGATACGCGACGAGTTGCTTCACGAGCTGCGTGGCGTGCGCGTGGTGGCGCAGGGTGAGCTGAACCTCTTCTGCCTCGACGACGGCGACGAGCCGAAGGGCATCGCCTGCAACCAGCTGCACAACCAGAGCCGCGGCACGGTGGTTGATGCGCTTCGAGGGCGCGTCGTGTGCTTCCCGCTCACTCACTTCTTCAACCAAGGGTACTGACTGGCTCTCATCTTTTGATCGATATTGATGACGATGGTGTTGACGACGCGGTGGGCGATCGATCACATCAAGGGCGCGTTGGCCCACGGACGACGAGCGGCACGACAAGCTTTTCCATGAGCGCATAGTGGCCCGGTTCGACTGGGTGACTGAGCTCGTTTCCGTGTGCGCCCATAACGGCCAGTTCTTGTTCGTAGGCTCGAAGGTACCACTTGTGCCCTGGTCACCTGTGGAAAGTCAATAACGAGCAAACTCACCACAGGGGTTTGACGGCCCCGACGTGGAGCGCGTGCGATCGTTGGTGATCGAGCGATTCGGTGATGTGGAGCCCTTCGCCCAACAGCTGGACCTGGAGCACTACTGGTACACATTTCTCGCCGTCGCCGGGCCGCACCGCGAGAAAGAAGAGAAAGGCGAAGGGAACGAAGAAGCGGAGGAACCAGAGGTGGACAGCACCCGCTCCAGCTGGGAGCTGTGCCTGGTAGGCGCCCGGCATCGCTACGCGCTCAGCCTCCAGTCTCCCGAGCAGCTGGCCGACACCGCGCGGGCGCTGGGCCTGCTTGACCCCACTACCCTCTGAGACAGCTGGGAAGCTGATCGTCAATCGGCCGCGGTGGAGTTCGATCCCTAGCTTCGGTCAATCAGGCAAAATTTCGGCGGATCGTTGGGAGGTCGACAAAAACATGCTACTTTGCGTAGAATTCGCGAATGTGAGAGGGAGACGGCTGGGTGGGAGCTTGTCTCGAGGCGGTCACGGCCAATTGCCTCCTATTTTCGTGCTTTCTTCTGCGCACATGGATAATCTCCGCCATGGTCTAGCCAGGGCCGTTTGAACACTTGAAGTTGCCAGCTCCCTGGGTTCATCCCTCCATCCTCTCATCTTCAGCCACCACGACAACATCACACAAGGACCACTTAGAGCACCACCACACCGCCACCATTCACACCAACACCACCGCTTCATCCTTGTTTGCCCTGCGGAGAACGATCAAGCAAGAACGAAAACGACGACACATACAAGAATGAAGACGGTCAGGAAACTCATAGATGGCTTCAAGGCCGTACGTGCTCCCCCTCTTCCATCTCGTTCTCACCTCTTATCGCTTTTCCTCCGCTTCATTTCTTCTCTTCAACCTCTTCCTTCACTTTGCTCAACAGAACAAGCCAGAGCGCGTGGACGTGCGGACAGCCACCACCATGTTCCACGCGCTTCCTACCGAGCTCTGGCTCCACCTCTGCTCGTTTCTGGACGTGCGCGATTTCGTGAACCTGTGCTCAACCAGCCGCGACCTGCGCACCGCCGGGCAGGACGAGTGGGTCTGGCGCACCTTCCTCCTACGCGACTGCCCGTCCATCGTGTACGCCACCATTCTGCTTCAAAGTCAGTAGGCCGCCTTGCACTCTAATCTCTCCTGGACTGGGGTATAGTTCGCTGCCGCAGGCGATCGACAACATATTCGGGCAGCACAACGTCAAGGATCTCTTCGGTCGATCATGGCAGTGGGTGTACCGCAGCAAGATGGTACCCTCAGCTCTTCTTCTTCTTCTTCTTCGAAGGACCTTCAAGGGGTGAGCGCTCACGATGTCTGATTGGGACATGATGGTGGTCCAGGTCGACATCCACCAAGACCGAGGGGACATGATCTCCCGAAAGTTCGTGGTGGGTCACCGCACGACAAAGGGCGGCCGCTACGAAGGTTTGTGAGTTGTAAGCAATGTCTCGCCTCTCTCTCAAGCTCTGCTCACATTATTGGCCAATTCTCGCAGGTGAGTGGCGAATGGGGAAGCTCGACGGCGTGGGCACGCTCATGAACTCCACGGGCGACATGGTTTACATCGGCCACTTCAAGCAAAGCGAAGGTACGCGCGAATTCGGCCGAGAAGATGACAAGCACACTCACACCTCAACGGTTGGCATGCGCAGTTCATGGAAAGGGCGTGTGTCTGTTCAGCGATGGCACGCGATACGAGGGCGAGTGGAGAGGGAGCGAGGCCCACGGCAGAGGCGTGTGTTGGTACCTCGACGGCAAGCGCTACCACGGCAAGTGGAAAGAGGGCAAGCGATGCGGTGCGTTCTCTCGGCGCACCACCGCACACGCACACGCACCCACACTCACTGTGAGCGATGGGAAGGCAAGGGAACGTTCTACTGGAGCAACGGGAGCTACTATGTGGGCAAGTGGCGCGACGATAAGCCCGTGGGCCAGGGCGTTCACTGGTGCGCTACCACCAAGTCCAAGACCAAGCGCGGGTGGAGCAACGAGTTTCTCTGCTGCTGCGCCACTGCCACCGTTCTCACCCCCATGAAGGAGACCACCACCGGTACCACTCTCCATCATCATGTGTTGGCTTTTGCCAGTGTCTCACGCTGAGCGAGCAGTGACGGCCGGAGATGCGAGGGTGGGCAACCCCTACCAAGTGTCCAAGTCTGGGCTCTTTGTGTGACGCAATCCGAACCCATACCCACGCGTGTCTGGAGAGATCTCCAGCGCTTCGTACACTTCACACTATTGTTGTATTTCTTTGCATCGCACTCCCACTACCACTACTACACTTCTTGCACATCTTCTCGAGGTGTCTGGCCGTCGGGCCTCCACATGTGGCGGTCTTTTCGGAGAGCGAACTTAGTTGCCCGCGTCGGATTTTATCACACAAAGATAAACTGCACGACTATGCTCCGGCATCGAAGTTAGGTCCTCCAATCGCGTGGCGAGGCGCCCGGGTGTGTCGGCCCGCCCTGCGTAAAACTCGTCTCACAACTCGCACGCACACACGGAGACTCGGCTTTACTCCTTGTTTTCGTTTTCTCCCCACCGCACCCACCACCACACCTTCCTCCCTCTTCTCGCCACTCTCTGTTGATGTCGTTCCACCGCCGGCTTTCGTTGGCACTGCTCGCGCTGGTCCTCGCACTGGCCGTGCTCGTGCCGGTCTTGGGCTCCACTAAGACCCAGACCCAGGGCTCCGATGATGCGGCACCCCTCGCTGGGTGGAGGCTTCGCGACCACGAAGCCAACCACACCAGCAACGGCACCGAGCCCGACCCGGACCACGACCACGATCACGACCACGGCAACGGAACGGAGCATCACCACGAAGAGGAGGCACTCCATGAGATCTTCGCCATGTTCGATCAGGACAACGACACTCTCCTGAGCGAGCACGAACTCGAACTCCTCCACGCCGCCATGTTCCCCGAGTTTGGTACCCCACTCCTTTCCGTCATTCTCTCTTGGTCGACATCTTCGGTGGGCCAATTTTATTCTCTGGAATGCTTGGAATGCTTGTGTTGCGGTTGGCCAACGGACAGGACCTGGTATCTAATTATTTTTCCACAGAGCACGACCATGAGCACGACCACGACCACGACCACGGCAACGAGACGCACTCGGACGGCGAGGAGGACCACGACCATGCCCACAACAGGCGTCAGCGCATCGGCGCCATGATACGGCAGAAGATCTCGGCGTCGTCGGGCAAAGCGGGCAGCGGCGGGTTGGGAGCCGCATCTGCCGGTCTCACCACCACCACCGAGGGCCACTCGGCCGAGCGGGCCGAGGGTGGGGTGGGTGGGGGTGAGGGGGCGGATGCGGGGGCGGCCGCAGCTGGGATGGACAAGCGTGAACTCACCGAGGCCGAGTTTGAACTGTATTGCCTCACACCCGAGGCTCTCTTCACCGACTACGATGCCGACGCGGTACGCACAGTGTCGATTGCTTTAATCGTGTCGTGTGTCGTGTCGTGTCGTGTCGTGTGCCATGCGCATGTCTAATCAGTGAGATGAACGGTTGGGAAATCAGGATGGGTTCCTTAGTGAGGAGGAGTTTATGACGATGACGCCCCAGCTGGTGCTGATGGTACTCAAGGGCTGCGGCGAAGCCCACGCGCACGAAGAGGAGGCATGTGCACATACCCCGCATTCCTCTGAATTGTGTGAAATTGCCTGCGTCTTCTTCATTGAGAGCTGACTTCATCGTACCATCCGTCCAGGTGTGCGTTCCTCCTGAGGAGTGGGAGTCGTGGTTGGCAGGACTGGGCTCCGTTGCCATCATCTGGTACATGTCTTGCACGACGCCACCATATGTCCAACTATGATGTGTTGGTTGTCTCACCCGCATCGATCATGTAGTTTGGTGTCTCTGATTGGAATTGCCCTCATCCCGTTCACGGTGAGCCAGAAGCACAAGATCATGGGCGAGGTACGTTGGCCGCGTGGTGTCACCCACCTATCCCCTGCATTGGTCGATGAGACGAGGCAAAACTAACATCCCGGCCCCCCCACACAGATCCACAACCTCGTGGTGATGCTTATGATCTCCTTCGCCGTTGGCGCTCTCATCGGCGATGCCGGTACGCGCTCTCGTTTGGCTCTGACAGTGTCGTGTGTTTCGTGTCGTGTTGTGTCGTACATTGTGCGAGTGTTGCATTGGCACGGTGTGACTCACCAAATCACCGTTCAGTGTTGCATTTGATGCCGGAGGTGCTCGAGGTCCACAGCCACTCGGGCGGCGGCCACGACGAACACGCCCACGAGGAGCACTCCGCCGAGGAGGACGACCACGACGTACGCTCTCTGCTCTGTTCCACTCCGCTCAGCACGACCAAAAGAATTGCGCTCACTTTGTCTCCACCACACGCATCCAGGACAAGAGCTATCTCGAGCCGTTGGCGCTGGTGCTGGTCGGCGTTTTCTTTTTCTTCTTTATCGAAAAGATGCTGCTTCTCGTGCTTGGCAAGGAGAGTACGTGCCAGCCCACTCCCAACCGCGTGCACTGTGGGAGTGAAGTATCATCATTGACGCCCTGCGCGTTTTGTGTGTCGTGTGTGTCGTGTGTGTTGTGTGTGTTGTGTGTTGCGTGCGTTTTGTCGCAGTTCAACATGGCCACGGGCTGCAAAAGGAGAGCAGCAACAGCAGCGATGACGAGCTGGAGATGGACGAGGCGAAGGACAAGGCCAAGGCCAAGGAGGACGCCGAGAACGAATGCGAGGCGTGCGACGAAGATGATCTCCGCCAGAGGGCCGGCTTCAAGGGCCGCATTCGCCGCTTCGGCTCCAACCAGGTGGAGCTCATGAAGACCGTCAAGACCTACGGCTGGCTCAATCTCATCTCCGATGGTACCGCCCCGCCATCAACCACTCCCCCAATCGCCCTGCTGTGTGCTCTGATTGTGTTCTGACGCGTGTCGTGCTGTGTCGTGTGTCGTGTGCAGTGTTCCACAACTTCGTGGACGGTCTGGCGATTGGTTCGGCCTACAGCCAGAGCCTGAGCATGGGCCTGAGCACGAGCCTCGCCGTCGCCTTCCACGAGATCCCGCAGGAGCTGGGCGACTACGGCGTGCTCATCAAGGCCGGCTTCACCAAGCCGTGGGCGCTCGCGTTCAACTTCATCACCGCCTGCACGGCCTTCCTGGGCGTCATCATCGGTCTCGGCGTCGGCCGCGCCGTGACCGACGCCAACAAGTGGATCCTGGCCTTCACCGCCGGCGGCTTCTTCTACATCGCGCTCGCCGATCTCATGCCTGAGCTCAACTCTCACGTACCTTGCCTCCTACTTGTCGTGCGTGCGTGTCGTGCGTGTCGTGTTGTGTGTCGCGTGTGTCATGCTTTGGTAAGAGGCTCACATCATCATCGCATTGTGCAGCCGCGCAAGGGTTGGATGGGCTTGCTGGACGTGGGCGTCCAGTTCTTCGGAGTCCTGCTGGGCTTTGGCATCATGGCCATCATCGCCGTGACCGAATCCGAACACGATTGCTGATTCCCGTCGTGGCCAAGACCGCGAGCAGCAGGGAGTACCGGGCGTCAAACAGAGAAGAGCACATCTGCCCTGCTCCTTTTGGTCCGCAATTGAACTTTCTTTGCAATGTCACCGGCGTCACGGTGTCATCCGCTCAGCTGTGCGCGGAAAGAGAGACAGGTAGCGGACGTTGAAGAGGTTGAAGTACGCCATCAGCAGCCGCTCGAGTCCGATGGCGCATCCCGCATGAGGCGGCGCTCCGTACTGCAGCAACTCAGCAAGGGCCTTCATTCCCACATGTACACGATGTGAGTGTGCCTTGTGTCGTCTGTCGTGAGCGTGAGGCCGCACCTGTGTGATGCCAGGGTTGGTGCCGCGTTCGAGCATGCGCGCATCGTGAATGCGTTGTGCTCCCGAACCCACTTCCTCATGTCGCAGGTAGACCTTGAAGGCGTTGACATATCTCTGTCATGATGCGTCCAGTGAGTGTCATTGTTGGTGTTGTTATTGTGGACTGGGCAGCGCACCGGCTCGTGCGGGCAGGGCATGACAAAGCGGGACGTGCAATTCGAGGGGCTCTTGTCCACGATGAAGAAGTCGACCCCGTACTGCTGCTTGACCGCTCGCATCAGGCGCCGGCGCTCGTCCGCGTGAGTCACGAGGTCGTCAAAGTCGTCTAGCACATGCCGCCTGAGAAAGCGGTCCGTCAGATCACCGTCGGCCGGCGCGTTGTTGAGCAGCGCGATGGCCTCGCGGAAGGTGAGCCGCAGCGTCGGACGCGCATAGACGAGCTCCTCCGCAGTTGGGTACTGCGCCCGCACAGCGGCCAGGTCGTCGGCATGACGCGACTTGAGCCCGTCAAATATCCACACGAACAGTTCGTCGACCACATCCACTGCCTGTGCATGTAACGTTGCCCCTGTGAGTGCGTGTGTGTGCGTGTGCGTGTTGCGTGTTGCGTGTGCGTGTGTGCGATTGTATACCTCGTGGTAGTGCTCGTTGATGGCCATCTCGAACTCGAGGCCGGTGTACTCGTTAAGGTGTCGGTGCGTTGTGGCGGCGTGCGCACGAAACACCGGGCCGATCTCGAACACGCGCTCAAAGTCGGCGCAGATGGCACCCTGCAGGTGGAGCGACGAATGGCCCAGGAACGCTTCATCTGAGTGTGTGCGGCGGTGCGTGTTGCGTGTTGCGTGTTGGAATGGTAAGTCTAGGGAGTACAGAATCAACCATGGTGCACGCACCGTCAAAGTAGCGCAGCTTGAACTCGGGGTGTCCAGCCGAAGGCGCGGAACGTATCCTGGGGGTGTGGACCTCGATGAACCCCTTGGCGAGCAGGAATTCGCGGAAGAGCTGACACACGCCTGAATTGATCTTGAACAGGGCGCGGTTCGCTGGCGTCTGCCCATCCGGCTGGTCAGAACACACACGACACACACATGACACACACCACACACACCAAGCAAAGCGTACTCTGAGGTCGAGAACGCGGTTGTCCCACTTCACACTACTCGGGATCTTGAGTCGGTATGAGCGCTGCAGCTCGTGTCGAAGCTCGTCCAGCTTCGCTTCCATCTCCTTCGTGTCGCTCGATTGCGCCTCTGCTCAGTGGGGTTGTGCCGCATAACAAATGAAAGTTTCACGATTGAGCGTCATGACAGCCATCGGTGTGTCGCGTCGGTGGTCGTGTCGTTGGTCGTGTCGTGTCGTGTCGCTATGTGTTGGCGTGGTAATTACTCAGGGACTGGTCGAGCGCATCCCGGGCAGCGGCGATCTTGGCTTCGATCTTGTCCACCAGCAAGTCCTTGCTGTGTGGATCGAAGTTGTGAAGGCACGAAGCCTCTTCGATGATGAAGGGTAGTTGCTTGACGGGCCGGCTGATGATGGCGATGCCGCGGACGGCCAGCTCCACGTCCTTCTGCGTGCACCCCTTGATCGTGGCCCCAGGCGCGACCACGTCGGCCTCCACCTCGACCAGCGACTCCAGGCCCGCCCTGCACACACAGCACACACGACACACGACACACGCACGACACGCGATTCTCAGTTTGAGTGGGGTGTGTGCGTGTGTGTGTTGTGGATCGATGAGATGCTGGAGAGCAGAACCGGCCGACAAGTTTAATGGTCTCGACGGGGATGGTCTCGCTCCGAGCCAGCACGGCCTGAACGGTGCACGTCTCCTCGCGCAGAACCAGGAACACCAGCTTGTTGCCTGCACGCACCGGCAAAAAAAGTAATAAATTCAAGTTGAAAAGATGGTGTACTCCAAGGCAAGGGGCATGGCCGTACCCCTGGGGCGAACGCAGTGGAGGCGTGCACGCACGAGCACGGTCTGGCCAACGCGAGTCCCATTCACCTGGCATACCGGCAACCTCCTCCACGGCCCGTTGGCACCATCCTCAGCAACCTGTGAAGAATTGCAGAAGTCAGCCATGGCAGACGCGCCGACAGCAACTCAGTAGTGCCAGGAACACACCGAGAGTGGTGGTGGAGGACCCCCTGCTTCTCCTTCTTCACGTTCCATGCTTGCACCAATACAATTAATAAAATTTATTTGTTATTTATCATTTTCTTATTTGTTGAATTATTTCTTTTTGTCCGTTCAAAGCAGCGAATTAAACAGTTGATTTGAGTGATTGCGAGTGGCGAGAAAAAGAAATCTTCAGATGCAGGCGCCGACGCACCCCGAGATTGCGAAGCTGCTGACGCGCAAGCCGCGCGTGTGCATCGTGGGCGGCGGCTGGAACGGTCTCTACGCCCTCAAGTGGTTCGTCGAGGAGGGACTCGACGACGTCGTGCTCTTCGAGCAGACCAACTCCATCGGCGGCGTCTGGGTCTACACCGACAAGCCCGGTACGCTTCACTCATCCAACCGCTCCGGAGCGCTCTCCCCTCGCTGTATTTCTTCTAACACTGTGGCCACCCGTGTGCGGTCATGCGTGTGCGGCGTGTGCGGTTGGGCGCAGGCGGATGCTTCAGGAACACCAGGGCGACGGCCTCCAAGTCGTACCTGCACGCCAGCGACTTCCCGATGCCCGAGAGCTTCGGCCACTTCCCGACCCACACCGAAGTCCTCGACTTCCTCAAGGTACGCACCTTTTTTAGTTATTTATTTATAAATATTGTTTGGTATGTGAAATAACAGCATATTCTTTTCTTTTCTTCTCTTTTCTTTTCTTTTGCCAGGACTATGCGAAGCACTTCGAGCTGTACCCATACATCAAGCTGCAGCACAAGGTCCACAAGGCGCGCAAGACCAAGGACGGCCAGCAGTGGAAGGTCGTGGTCATGCCCAACCAAGAGGAGGAGCAGAACGCGGGCCTATCTGGCGGCGCCGAGGCCGAGAAGGAGGTGCACCACTTCGACATCCTGGTCTGCTGCTCGGGACAGCACCAGGTGCCGCGCGAGACCCACCTCGAGGAACCCTTCACTCACTTCACCGGTACCGCACACACTCACGCTTCTCTCGCACACTTTGGGTGGCGTTATTGACTGAGCGATGTGTGCGGTGTGCGGTGTGTGCGGCGAAGGCGAAATGATGCACAGTCACTGCTACAAGTACCCTACGAAGGCGATGAAGGGCAAGACGGTGCTCATCGTGGGCGGCGGCGAAAGCGCCAGCGACGTGGCCGAAGTGTGCGAGAAGGCCTCGCGCACCATCCTCGCCATCAGGTCGGGAACCTGGTTCCAGGACCGAACCGTCGGTGCGAACCAGCCGGCCGACATGGTGTTCACCAAGCACCAGCGCCTGCTGGGATTCTCCGACTTCCAGAGCTGGCTCGTCTGGATCGGTAAGTGTGTGCGTCGTGTGCACTGTGTGCGCAAGCAATCACTGAGTTGTCGTGTGTGCAGGACGGTACGGGATTATTGAGATGATGTGGGGCAAGGGAGGCAGCGGCATCAAGGAGTGGCAGCCGTCGTGCGCCTACTTCCACGGCTTCCTCAACAAGAGCCGCGACATCGTCGACAAGGCCGCCCTCGGCAAGGTGGTGGCGCGTCGCGGGATCGCCAAGATCGAGGGCAAGCGCGTGTGGTTCACCAACGAGTCCAAGCCCGAGGACGTGGACCTGATCATCTTCGCCACGGGCTACCTCTCCAATCTGCCCTTCCTCCTGCCGGCCCACAACTTCCGCTACAACGCCTACAAGCTGGTCTTCGATCCAAACGACCCCACGCTGTGCTACATTGGCAGCGCCAGGCCCATGATTGGTACCGCACACGCCGCACACGCCATACACGCCGCACACGCACATGATGACCTGTTATGTGCTGTTGGCGCAGGTTCGATTCCGGCGTTAGGCGAGCTGCAGGCGCGCTGGGCGACGAAGGTCTACACGGGCCAGGTGTCGCTGCCGTCCACGCCCGCCATGCTGGCGCAGATGGAGGCCGACAAGATCAGGCACAAGCGGGTGTTCCCGGCCGATGACCACCACCTGCCGCAGCTGGTCAACCACTGGGAGTACTCGGACGAGATCGCCTCCTACTTTGGCGCCAAGCCCGACCTCGTGCGCTGGTTCTTCCGCAACCCCTTCAGGTCAGTCGCACAACACCACACCCCAAAACTCTCGTGCTTTTCTGACACCTCACACACGACACACACGACACACACGCACACCGCACACGCACACAATAGATGGTGGACGATCATCAGCGCACCGTGGAGCGCGCACATCTACCGGGTGGAGGAGGGAGGCAAGGTGCGCGAGGAGGCCATCAAGAACATCGAGCGCACGTGGCTGCCCAATCACTACTCCTTCAACGCCTTCAACAAGGCCATGCTCGCCTTCGACATCTACGTTGCGCTCAACGTGTTCGGCCTCTTCTGCCTTCTCTACGTGTACCTTTTCCTCTGGTAGGGCATGGTGATTACTCGAAAACAACGGCAGGTTTTCGTCACAATTGTTAACAAGTGTGAGGAACACGGTGAGAAAAAAGGGTTGGCGGAGGCGTGTGGTCCCAACCAGAACCCATTCAACAGCTGTCCCGACTGGCGGTGGCGAGTGTAGGGGCCCGGATCAAGCTGGGGAGCAGTGACAATGGTCGTAGTGAGAGGTTCCATGGTGCAATCGGTAGCACGTATGCTTTACACGCATAAGGTACTGGGATCGAAACCCAGTGGGACCAATGTCTTTTACGGAACAGGCTAAACAGAAGAAACACAGTGAACAAAACTGCCATTCTTGGCTGCTGCTTGTTGTTCTTGTGGTGTAATTTTTAAAGTGTAATTTTTAAAGGTGAGGGCACCACACCAGTACACAGAGAACTAATCAAGGTGAAAGTGCTGCAGAGTGAGAGAGAAAACAGCATAATAATGGCCTCTGTTTGTTGGTTGAATTTTGTTGATTTATGTCCAGGTCAAACTCTCTGTTACTGAGCAATAGTTTTTGGTGGAAATAATGGGCAGGGCTTTGGTGAACATGGAATAAAATTTCAGCAGAATCTTGGGACTGTTGATGTTGCCCTCTTCAATGAAATCCAGCATTAGTTGCTGGCTTCCTTGATCTCTCCTATGGCATGATTCCCTGCCAAGCCATGTTGGAGTACACTTGCACAAGACACAGCCTGAGGAAGCAGGTCTTCATTCCTCTCTGTGCCAAGAACTTCAAGTGGGATAAGATGGTTATTGGCAGGGAGAGCCTGGGGCAACATCTCTCTCATGCCCTTCCCAGTTCTTCACCCATGACACACACAACACACACAACACCTTCACAGTCACCTGTCTATGCACCTTCCTGGACAAAGCATGATTGTGTCTGTTGTTTGTGTGCTTTTGTGGGTCCAATTGGAGGTTGTTATGCCTCATATCTCCAGGCTTTGCTCTGCTGACATATGGAGCCAGCAAGCTTGAGGAGGGTGTGGCAGAGAGCAGGGGAGTAGCCAAACATGCTCCACCTGATGGCAGTGGCAGTGGTGGTGGCTGCACAGCAAATTTAGGAACTTGTGATGGAGATGCACCATGACATGCTTTATTTTAACCCTCCAAGGCTATATCCCTTAGCCTTTCATAGGTTGCATGGTGTACAACCATCAATAAGAATCAAATTTATCCAATCCTGAGATGTCTTTGCTTTCTCTTGGGTGTAATATTGGCCTTATGAATTTATACATATGCTGACGCTGAGATCACTTATCTGCGCCTAGCAAGCTTCCTACGCCCTCAGTGAATAGCCCTGTTACAGGAAATGGTCGTGCCATGGTGATGTGGATGGAGGCGGGTAGGAGAAGTCGCTTAGTGGGGGCGAGGGCGCTGCCATCGGGGCTGCTGTTTGGTAGTGGTACTGCCGGTGGTGGTGATGCTGGTGGTGGCTATGGTGTTGTGCCAGTGGTGGTTGATGGTTAGTCGCTGGCATGTGCTGGAAGGTCTGGTGGTGGCCGCGGGCCTCCTCTACAGCCGCGCTGCTGGCCGTGTGTGCATTCCACGTTGTCGCCGACGGCGCTGGCGGCTGGCTCCTTGGCCAGTGGTGGGCAGACGACGACGATGGTGATGGTGCGGGAATGGGAGATGGGGAGGACGAGTCGGACGCCGGTGACGAAGAGGAGACGGGCAGAAAGTCGGCCAGCGGCAGCCATTGGCCCAGCTCCTCACCGTCGCGCAGTTGGTCCTCGCGCCAATCGAGCAAGTTCGACAGCACGTACTTGACCTGTTACACGTGCGTGTGCGTATGCGTGTGAGCATGCGTTGCATAACATGAAACACACACACGCACACGCACACACACGCACACACACACACACACAGAGAGAGATTATACATGGCCCTGGGCATCGTAAAAGAATTGCACGTTCTGTTGGGTGCGCAGCATCCGCCCGTCCCTCCGCCGAAACAGCGGAGTCATGAAATACACCACACTGGCCGACATGGGTTTCCTGTTTTTCGGCCGCAACCAACATAGCAACCGTTTAGCTGGCTGCAGGTACTGCGTGTGTATCACATGTGATTGACATTGTCGGCGTACTGATTAATGCACAGGGAGGCGAACTGAGCGGTCAACTTCCGGTTGGGCACGCAGATGTTATGGATCGGCGATCCCACCAGCTCACCCTAAGTTTCGCCACCCACCCACCCACCACCACCACACAGTCAGAGAGCTCGAGCACAGAGCACCCCGCGGAGGGTCCGTTGACGCGTACGCAAGAGTAGGACAGCAGGTCGGCGAACGCGCTGTTGGCGTACAGCAGGAGCGGCGGCGCGGGGTCGTACACCGACCGGAACACGATCACACAGATCGGCCGACTGGTGGTACGCCATTTTTAACGAATGTCAGGAATGTCAGCCGCCAACAATTTTAAAAAAAAATGATAACAGTTAGACAGGAGAGAGTACCTCAGGTCGCGAACGGCAAACGCGTGTTCCGAGACGTTGTACTGGGCGAGGAAGGGCGCGAACCGGCCGACCTCCTCCACGATCGACCGCGAGTGAACCGGTACCAGCGGCAGCGGCACCAGCGTCGAGTGGTGGTGGCCCTGCTCAGCCTCTCCGCTGTCGCCTCCGAGGCCTCTTCGCTGCTGTTGCTGTTGCTGCTCCTCGAAGCCACTGCCGCCGCCGTAGCCGTAGCCCCGCATCTGCACCACCTCATCCTCGTAATCGTCCTCGTCGTCGTACGCGAGCCGCTGTCGCTTACGCGGCAGTGGTCCAGTCGCCTGCCACTCGTTCTGCTGCTGCTGCTGCGTGTGGTGCTGGCCGTGGCTGTGTTGTTGTTGGTTGTGGTGGGGTTGGTTGTAGTTGTGCTGCTGGTGCTGGTACTGGTGCTGATGCTGGTGCTGAATCTGCGCGAAGGCGAGGGACGAGCGGATGTCGGCCTGGGCCTGCTTGGCCTTGACGTCCTTCATCTTGCCCACCACCTTGCGCAGCTTGGTCTTAAGCTTATCGTGGTCCCGGCGCATCTCCCGCATCTCGCCGGCCATCATCTCCACCATGCTCGTCAGCAGGTTGAGCTTGCTCAGCACCTCGCGGTCCTCTCCCGTCGCCCCGCCGTCGCCGCTGCCGGCTGCTGCCGCGCTGTCCGACTCGAGTTGGCCGCCGGCGCCGCCACCACTGCGTGCGCTATGGTGCGGCAGATGCGTGGGTTGTGGCCTCGGTGGACCCTGGGCTTGTGTCGACCGGGCCTGTGGTGTGTGGGCGGGTCGGCCTGTTTGCTGCGGTGGTGACGTGGGCGTCCAGGCCTCGGCCTGAGTCGGCGCCGGTGCGACGGCGAGGGGAGCAGCAGAGGGCGTCTTGTGGCGGTGGTTTGCTTTGCGTGCGCTGGCCGCGTCGGTGGCCACTGACTCTTGCTGCACTGCGTCGTCTTTGCCCTTGCGCGGGCGTCCGCGCTTGCGGAGGGGCACGTCCGAGCACAGGTGGGCACGTCCGGTCTTTTGGCACCGCCTGCACGGCCTCTGCCTGCACCCACCAAAATATGAAAAACAATAATGTGAATCAATACCTGAGGGCATCCTCTACATTTTTCTTGAATTTCTTCAATCAATCAAATGAGGCCGTACGCTTCGCAGGCGGTATGGGATATTCTACAGTAGTTACATGCCAGACCTATGACTGACCCAGGAGATCCTGCATTTGGCCTCGGCTCCGCCCCCTCTTCCATCATCTTCGTATTTTCTTTTCTACTTTTCTTTTAATATATGTCCAATTTTACAGGTGTCGACAGCATCACCAAGAGGGGAAGTGGCTGGAGAGGAAAGCGTCGAGCCCTGGCGTCAGTGGAGCTCTGTTCCCACCGCTGTCGCTGTCGTTGTTGGTGGTGGTGCCGATGGCCGTGGCGTTGCATATGTCCAGCGGCGATAGTGGTTCGGAGGTCGTGGCAGAGGCAGAGGTGGTGATCGAGGAGAATCGATAGAGTTGCGTGGGATCGTCGAAGGGGGATGAAGAGTTCTGGCTGGAGGGCGGGTGGGACGGTACGTCCTCGATCTTGGGCGAGAGCACTTTGACGATCGGCACCCAGTGGTCGAATCCGTAGCTCTCGCCCTCCTCCAGCCAGCCCTCCTCCCAGTCGAGGATGCACATGAGCGAGTACCGAGTCTACCATCCAATACACACAACACACACAACACAATACACAACATAACACACACACACACACAACTCACCACACCACACAAGACGCGTCAGTTCGTGTGCCCGATTGCAGAAGACCGGTACGCGTAGGAGACTGCATACGTTGCCCTGCTGATCATAGAAGAATTGCACGTTTTCGTTGACTCGCAGCAGCTTGCCGTCCTTGCACCGAATGAGCACTCGGATTCGATACATGTCGCTCACCGTCATGGGCGGTCTGATGCCGCGCCACACACACACACACACACACCACGCACGCACACGCACACACACCACAACGTTACGACGGAAAAGCCCCTTAGAGAACCAACAAAAAGCAGTAACCTTGGTTGGCAGTTGACCTTACCTATTGATCATGATTGGCGCCAACGCCCGGTAGTGCTCTTCGTTGACAGCAAACAGCATCGCATATGGCGCACCGATGATATCATTCTGGGTTACACACGCATGACACGCTTGTTACACGGTGGTGGGTGGTAGGTGGGGCGGGTTGTGCCGTACCCAAGAGTATTTAGTGAGACGCATGAAGGCGGGATTGACGTAGGCAAATGCCGGTGACGTATCCTCGAATATCGAAGCCGTCAAGAACGAGCACACGGGAAAACTACATGCGTGTGTTGTTAATAACAGTGCTGTATTGCCGACGGCACACGACACGACACACGACACGACACACACCGCAGTCGTATGGACAAACCTGAAATCGGGCACGGCGAAGGGAGAGGGGATGTTGTAGGGGCCGAGGAAAGGCATCAGGTGTCGGGCTTCCGTGATCACTGGCAGCGACAGCCCGCCATGGAGAACCGAGAGTTCGTAGGAGAAGGAGGAGGCCGGTACGTTGGCCGATGGCGACGTCGACGGTGGTGAGGGCGACGACGCTCCCGTGGACGACCAGGACGAGTGCCGCTGCGCTGCGCCCAGACCAGGCACCTCCATCAGCGCTGAAAGCGGCCTTTGCCCCGGTGTGAGCGCTGTGACTGGCGCACTAAATCGCTGGAGAACCTGCTGCTGGTACTGCTGGAGCTGCTGGTCTGTCGCGCTGTTGCTTCCGCTATTGAAGTAGTTGTTGGCGCTGTCTCGTCGTCGCTTGGCTTCGTCCTCCTCGAGCTGAGTGCGCCGTCGATCGGCGGCGAGCAGGTACTCGACTTGGCTCTTGGTGTCCTGAAGGCCCGACTTGAGCCGCTTGACCTTGGCCCGGAGCCTCTCGTTGTCGCGCTTCACGTCGCGTAGCTCGCCGGACATCATCTCCACCAGTCGCGTCAGCAGGCCCAGCTTGCTGTCGGCACTCATCGGCTCTTCCTCCTCCCTCTGCGGACTCGGCTCCGGTTCTACTCTCGCCGCGAGCTTCTGCTTCTTCTTTTGCTTCTCCTCTGTGTTGTCTGTTACATTGATAGCGCTCATCAGCCAGGCGCAGCGGAAATCCACATCAACCGCACACCTCATCACTGTAATGCGGCGCACGCACCGCTGCGCGGGCTGGTACTGCTCGCGTTCAGGTTGGGTGCCTGTGGGCCATCGGCCGATGATGCACCACCGGTCAGGTGGTGCGGCTGCTGCTCCTGCTTGATGTGTGTGTTGCGGTTCGCGGCATCGGCTTGTCGCCGGGGCTGCTGCAGCGGTTGCTCGTACGACTCCACCACTGGTGGGCCGTCCACGACCTTGGGCGGTCGACCCCGCTTGCGCGAAGGCACATCAGAGCACAGGTTGCCGCGCCCCACCCGCACACACCGCCCACACGGTCGCTCCCTGTCGCCGTGTAGCATCAAAGTGTAAATAATAATAATAATAATAATAATTAGACGTTATATTTGTATTGTTATTTATATTATTGTTGGGTAGATAGCGTACGAGTCGCAGGCGGTATGTGCGACGCGGCAGAAGTTGCAGGCGCGTACGTGCCCCAACTGGCCGCTCAGGTGATGCTGCACCTGAGGGCCGCCCCCGGCCGGAAGAGGCCGTGACGGCGCGTGTAGTGGTTGCTGGTGCGGCGGGTGGGCTGGGAGAGGAGGTTGTGCACCTGGAGGCGTAGAAAAAGAAAGATGATGAAGGCGGTTGGGGGAAAGCTGGGCCAGTGGTGATGGTTGTTGATGGTGCTGGTGGGGGAAGGGGCCGGCGAGACCGAGGCTCGGCAGCGGCACCGGACCCCTCGGCAAATCCATCTTCTCTTCCCACACGCCACGCTGCATCGCGCCCGCAGTCCGCCTGGCTCTTCGCTTGTGTTCACCTCTGTTTCCCAACCTACCGTCCCCCGGTCTTCTCTCTTCTTTTTTTTTCTTTCCCTTTCTGCTGGGCCGCAACGACGTTGCTGAGGAGACTTGACGTCCAGTCAGCCCGCACTTCACCAGGCTACCTATGTAGCCAAGAATGATCGGAATGCCATTTGGTGGACTCCAGACCGGAAAGTCATGGGGAGAAGGGCTGCTTTTTTCGCCTCAGGTGTTGGCTCGCCCCAAAAGGCTCAAACGTTTCACACCATGAAGGAGGAGGAGGAGAGGAAGCTTGAATCACCTGCTGTCGAGGTCGTAGGGTTGCCTGTGGGTCACGATAGCCACAATGTTCTGCTCGACCATGCCCAGCAGCTAATGATGGTGCCACTAGCCTCCCTCCAGGCAGATTTCCTTGAGGAGGTTGGTGGCTTCCTCCATCAGAGAGCTGTGCGGCGATACAGCACTCCTGGCCCATGGCGCATCTCCGTGCCCATTTCTCCGTTCTTGGCTCGGGCCACATTT